TGCAGCCCCTGGCAGCAGTGGCTGTGCAGCAGGACGGGGACCATGCGCTCAGCCTGGGTACACATGTTGCCATGCACAGATCCATCTGGAAATGCCAGCATACAGCAGGAAAGGGAGGTTCCCACTCTTCTTTGCAGGCTGGCAGCCCTGTGGTTGCAGGAGATGCTGACACCAAGGCCCTGACATTTTTCAAGCACTCTAGTGCTCCGGGCCCACTGCCAGGGAACAGGTTGCAGCCTGGGGAGTCATGTCCTGAGCAGATGCTAGTTCCACGGCAGCTTCTGCCTGTGGGCTCCCTCTGCTCCTGCTTGTGGCTGCATCCTGCACTGTGGGGTGCTGTGCAGTGCCCTGGGCTCCTGGGCTGCTGCAGTGCTGGGTATTGAGAGTGTTTTCCTCTCCCCTCCTTCCTGGGGCACAGGCAAGGTGGACTCATGGCCAAGAGGTGCCCAGGTAGGAGCAGGCTGTGTCAGAGACACTGCAGCAGAAGCAGATCCAGGCTCCTGTGGTAGATGTGGTGCTAAAGGATAGACCCACTGACTCCTGTGGCATGGCAGGGAATGGGACAGACTGTGCTCGCTTCACAGGATCCTTGGGGGGTTCTGTGCAGGACAGGGGACAAGGGTCAGTGGAGTGAAATGGATTCAGTTATCTGGGCTTTAACTACTACAAGCCAAGGCTGTGGTGGGGCAGGAGCTCAGTGTCCCAGTGCTGCAACCCCCACAGCACAAATTGAGCTGGACCAGGGTGGGCATGGGCAGGAAGGGTGCTAACCCAGCACCTCATGTGCAGATCTACGCTCTGGAGAGGCTCCACCAGGAGTGCAGGTGCATGCCCTGAGCAGGCCAAGCCCCCAAGTACTCACCAGCATTACTCCTGTACCAGCACAGGCAACAGACAAGAGCCTGCAGACAGACGGATAGACCTGCCCGTTCTCTTCCTTGATGCAGGTAAAGAGGCACAACAGAGATCCAGTCCCCAAGACCCGCACCTGGAGCAAATTGCTTCTAGCTCATAGGGAAGTGGTGTGTGCTTTCCGCATGCCAGTCCCCATACCGGCCAGCCAAGTGGGACAACTGGAGCCCTCTGTGTGTGTGTGGCAGCACTGATCCTCCTTGGGCAATGTAGCACCCCAAAAGTGGGACCTTCCTTGTCACAGGGCTCCTTCCTATCCCAGATGAAGCAACACCCCTGGGCAGGTAGGAGGCTGCCCAGTGCCCCTGCCAGCAGCAGGATATGAGGGATCCATTACATCTGATCCTGCCCTGGCTCCCAGCAGGATGTGAATCACGCCTGAGAAATGGGGACATGTTTAGGCATGAGTACCCTGTCCTAAGCAAGTGGCACCAGTTCTGTGCAGGCAGGTAGTTCCTGTGGCTGGTCTGGCTGCAGAAGAGTTGCCATACTGCTGCCTTCCTGCTGCTGCTGCCCTCCAGCTGCACAGTGTGTCCCAGAACACTTTCCTGTGCATCAGCCTGGCCACTCTGTGCTGCCCAGCCTCCAGCCACACCCAAGGACAGCCCTTAACCCATCCCTTGAACTGACCCATCATGGGTGTACCCATGCCCAGGTTCTGCCATCTCTCAGAGGGCACAGCACTACATCCACCCCAAGTCCTGCTGCTCTGGCCTGTCTTCATGTCAGCCTCTGAATTAAACAACCTGCATAGTTTCCAGGGACTTACTGTCAAGGAGGATCTTGGCACATCATCACACCCAAGGCTGCAATTCTCAGGAGTGAGAGGAGGAAGAGGAGGCAGGGAGAGCCCAACTTCTTCAGCTCCAGACAGATGGAGGAACTTCTCTCCTGACCAGATGAGCTGGGAACCAGGGGGGTACCTGCCATGGGGGGCCCTGGGAAGTAGGTCTGAGAGTTCCAAAACTCAACCACCATGATGTCACTGTTGAGTATAGCATGGTGTCCTGTGGGAGCTGCCCTGTTGTCAGCATACAGAGGAGTGGCAGCAGCATCAGGGTTCACATGTGCATGCCATGGGCAAACAGCACAGTGCAGTGAGGCCAAGAACTATCCTTCTCCTCCCCTTTTTCCTCCTCCTCTTCCTCTCCCTCTCCCTCTCCCTTTCCCTCTTCTTCCTCCTCCTCCTCCCCTGCCGCCCTTAGCTCATCATACTGCTTTGGTCAGCCAGGAGTTGGTGCCTGGCCCAAACATGCGCCTGGGGTGACAGGTCTCTCCTCCCTGACTTCCTCTGGGACTGAAGCCAGCCAGGTCAAGCCAATTTGTGATTTTGGGAGCAGTCACAAAATATTGGGGGTGTGGACAGTGGGATGGACATAGGTCTGTGCATGTCAGAAGTTCTCAGGAGAGGACGTAAGAAACCAGGAAAGCTTCAGGAGGAAGAAGAACAGATGGATTCCAGGACCCTCCTCTGCCCACTGCAGCCTGTGTGGCCCTGCACTGCCAGAGGGTCTGTGTTGCCAGAACAGCAGGGTAATGCTGGCCCCACACTGTGCTCCTGTGCGCAGAGGAAGGGCTATGCCCCAAATGAGATTTTAATTTAATTTAATTTAATTTAATTTAATTTAATTTAATTTAATTTAATTTAATTTAATGAATTCTCCCTGCCTGGCACTACAGTCCCATCCCTAAGTCAGATAGGTGCACAGACCAGTTCCAGACATGTGCTTACACAATAAAATTCCATCACTGCTATTTAACATTATGTTTAGCATCCTCAAAGGGAACCCAAAGGATTCTTGCCCCTCCTCCCTTTGCTGCAGTTGTCCCCTGGCTGGGGGAGCCCCCAGGACCTGTGCACCCATCCAGGCCTCTGCCCCCTGATGCAGGTTCATCTCATCCACTGGGCAATATGACCACCTTTGTCAGCACAGAACACACAACAGCATGCTGTGATTGCTGCAAACTGGTGAGATCAGTCCCTCACCTGCCCTGCATCAATGTACAGGGCAGCCTCCCCACAGTCCTCCCAGAGCCTGGCCTGGAGCTGGAGCCCTGGGCTCTCCAAAGGGTTTGTAAATATCTCCTTGCTCCACTTCATGGAATAAGGAGGTCTGCTTGGAGTCTGTTCTTGGCTGTCTGCATGCCCACCTCACCCCCAGGAAGCCCTGCATATGCTGTGTGGTGGGTGGATCCTGGGGATGTGGCAGTGGGTCAGTGAGGATGTGACAGGATCACTACCTGGGGAATGGAGCCAGGAGTGGTGCACACCTGTGGGAGCACAGGCAGGATACATGCTGAGAGCTGTGCACCCAAGGCTACTTTATCCACACTGCTCTCAACATGCTTCTGCTTCCAGGTGCTCCATATGGGAAGACCATGCACAGATCAGTCTGGAAATGCCAGCACACAGCAGGGAAGGGAGGTTCCCATCCATGCTGCCAGCCACACATCAGTATCCATTGCCCTGCCCAGCACTGCTGCTGGCAGAAGGGCTGGGGAACAAACCTGATGTAACTTCAATAGCTGAAGGTTGGCAGTGGGGTCCCCCCATACTTCAAAGGCAGATGAGCTGCTGCCAGCTGTGCTGCCTGAAGGCCAGGAGCTGGATATGTGGCAGTGCCTGTTGCCACGTGACAGCAGTGCTGCAAGTGATGCAGACACCTGAGTGTGCTGGTGCCTGGTCCCTGAGGGGCTGTGTGACAGCAGAGATGGAGGGCAGGGCAGACCCCTGTGTGGCAGGTCTGTGGCAGACATGCAAGGATCATCTCGCAAGTTAAGACGATGTTGCTGCTGAGACTGGCAGAGGGTGATGTTATGTTAGATGGCGCAGTGCTTGGAGGGGTTGGCTTTAGTTGCTTGGGCAGGGGCTGTCATGCTCCAGTGGAGCCCAATGCTGTTCAGGCCTGGAGAGTGGAGAGCTGCTGAGGAACGTAGGGGAGCAGAGCGCTCTGGGATTCCAGTGCAGCTGGAGACCCACCCTGCCAAATGGGCCTGATGTGAACCAACACGCCCAGTATGGAAACTGCTGAACCTTCTAGGCACTTCTACCACACCGCATCTTTCTGGCCTACTGTAGTGGGTTCTTCCCTGTGTCCGATGATGTTGTGATCCTGCTCCATCCCACCCATCTTCCCAGAATGCTGGGAACTCCCAGAAAAGCAGTGAACTTAATCTCCGTGACCTTTTCTGGAGAAGCCCCTTGGTGTCTGGGTTGCTGGACAAGGCAGGGATCAGCACCTCTCCCCCTCACCTAGGAGCTGGAGGCAGATGGCAGCTGCCTGCTTTGCAGAGCCCACAGTATCTCAGGTACTTAGTCCTCTCCAGGGAATACTTCTGGCCTTTGCCCAGAAACAAGATTGAGCCCCAACAAATTTGTCCTCCACAGAGCAGGGCTGCACTTCAACTGCATGTGTGGAGCTTGGGGTCTCCGGGGGAAACCCCTCGACAGTGAGACACCAGGGCTTGGCTGTCCCTGCACTGCCTTCTAGGACCTGGAACAGGATGTAAGGACAAGGACACCACAAGCAGCTTCTAAGTTGGAGCAAGCAATAGGACTATGCAGGGGGGCACAACACATCCCCAGGGAGCCCTCGCAAGTTTTTGGAGGTGCCCTGGGCATTAATCCTGCCGCGGTGTCAAGAAGCAGCTCAAACAGCTCCGCAGAGCATGCAGGGGCATCCCACGGTGTGGTCCCCCAAGCCCGGTGGGGAGGGCCTCTGGGAAGGAGGTGCTGGTGGCTCTCTGCCCCGCATCCCGCCAGCCGAGGGGCGCAGCAGCTCCTGCGGGTGGGGAGTCCTGGCGGCCCCGCTGGGCTCGGGGACACTCTGCGGGCAGCGATACACCCTGGGGTGCCATCCCAAGGGAGCCAGGCTCGAGTTCCGCTACACCGGACCGGCATAGGGTCCGGGACAGGAGTGAGTCGGGAGCGGCACGGCACGGCACGGCTGCCGGTGCACGGTGCCGGGACAGGGCTGGGCACCGGGATATGGGAGCCGCAGGTCCGGGGGGGGCGGCGCCAGGCCGGGTTGGCGGCGGCGGGGCGAGGCGGGGCGATAGGAGGCGGCGGGAAGCGGCGGGGCTGTTGGGAGCACGAACGGGAGCGGAGCGGAGCCGGGAAGGGAGGGAGCGGGGCGGGGCGGGAGCGCAGCCGAACCCGGCCCAGGGCCGCGCCGCCCCGGCCGCGCTTTGTTGTCTCGAGTCCCGGCCGCAGCAGCGCGGGCCCGACGGGCAGGATGTCCCAGGAGAACCTCCTCGGGATGGACGAGGGAGCGCTGCGGAAGCTGGTGAGTCCCCGGCTGCTCCCGGCTCGGGGTACGCTCGCGGCGGTTCCGAGGGCGGATCGTGCCTGGAGGTGCCCCGGCTCCTTGAACCCCCCCCGGGCCGGGGGCTGCTGTCTAAGGCGCGGGCAGAATGGGACCGGGCGGGCTTCGGGTCTGTCGCTCGGCCGAGGGATTCCAGAGCCGTGTCTGGGAGCGGATGTAGCGCTGGAGACCCAGCGCTGATCCCGGGCAGCAGCACCTGGAGGGGCCCGCGCTGGCCCGGGTCGGGCTCCGGGCCGGGGTGAGCTCCAGCACGAGCTCTGGTGGTTCCGAAGGCCCTGGCTCCGCTGCTCAGGCCGCTTTTGGCCCTTGGCTCGCAACCGCGCCTGGCCGTACCGCCTTTTCCGGCTCCATCTTCTCAGCCGGCGGATCCCGGGGAATCGTTCCCTGCTGTTGGCACAGTTCCCTGCTCCCCGCTCTCCCCTTGCGGGCTTCCGCGCTGCCGGGGCTGGCGCAGTGCCAGGCGCGCTTCCCGGGCTCTGCCCGAATGGCTTTGCATCCCATGCCCTCCTTCCGGAGCACCGGCCGGAGCGCTGCCCCTGGAGCGAGAGCCGTGCGCTGCCGCGGCCCGTGGGCTCTGGGGGACGAGGGCCTCCGTGTCCCGAAGACGGAACACAGGATACTCAGCCAGGTCTGGTGTCCCGGGAAGCCCCTACAACTGCCCGGCTTTGGGCAGCCCAAGGGACCCCCAGCCCGGGGCTAGGGCTGTGCTGGCTGCCCCGGGGGTTGAGCCGGGGTGGCCCGGGCCAGCGGTGGGGAATAGTCACAGCAGGAAGCTGAGGCAGCCAGGAAGGCAGGTCTGCTGGAACAGGAAAGTGTCGGGATGCCGGCGGGAAGTGAGGGCTGTGCAGCGGATCCCCGGTTGAGCTTTTGTCCTGCAACCATCAGGCAGCTCTGAGTGACGACACGCAGACCTGCCCGTGGTTCGAGCTGAGGAACCCACTGGCTTCTCGTGGGGTGATATCGGGGCCGATGGATTATCCATCCAGAGGTATGGGGATGGGTGGTCAGGGTGATGTCCCATCTCGACAGTGCTCCAGCTCTGCCATGTCCCATCCGAGGTCTCTGATCTGAAATGGAGCCTCAAGAGCAGTGGGTTCCTAGTGTCTGGCCAGCCCAGGGAGGTGGATCTCAGCCTGCAGTGAGCACTGCTTCTATGGATGCTTTTTCTTTGACATGCTGAGGCTTTGCCTCCCCAAAGCACTGTGCTTGTGACCCACATTTCCCTGTGCTTTGTGGCACAGGCTGGGGAAAGCCTCATCTGAGCTGACGTGAGGCAGGGAAGGAATTATTTTTCTTCTGGTTAGGTTTTTGGCTCCACTCAGCTGGAAGAGGATTAGTCCATATAAGGGAAAACTGACTCTCCCACCACTTCCTCCCTTCTTCTCTGCTCTCCCCAGCTCTCCACTCTGCCTTGCTTCTCTTCATTTCTCCCAAGTGACACCTAGGCAGCAGCATCTGATGTCCCCAGGGAAACTGGAAGAAGGAGACTGGGGGACTTGAGGTCCCTGCAGTCCCCTCACTCCTGTGCTGGCTGGGCTGGGAGCTGTCAGGAAGCTGCTGCCCTGCAACTCCTGCCATAGGCATCCATATGATTCCCTCCCCAGCTGCCCACTGGTATCCCAGTCCCAGGGAGGCCAGTTGTGATGAACCAATGGTGCAGCATAAAGGTGACCAAGGGCTTAAAGAAGCTGAAGGAGGGAGCAGTGGGGGATGGGGTGGGTGCTAACGCAAGATGGCCCTTAGGTGGATGTCCAGAAGCAAGAGATTGTTTGACTGCTCACAGCTGTACTGAGCTCCAGGCTGAGGTCTGCCAGCTTTGGGCTGGGGAGTGCTTCCGTTTCTCAGCCCCTCCAGTTCTTAGTCTGGTTGATTAAGGAGGATATAAATACCTTTGGAGACAAAGGCAGGGCAGGTTTGAGCTAGGAAAGTTGCTGCCATGAGATCCCCTGTCGCTGTTGAGGCAGGACAGGAATTAAAAGACTCTGACCAGATCAGAAGGCTGGTGAAAGTGAAACTCTGATTTATTCAAAATACACTGCTCTTTTATACAGAGCTTTGTGAGGACCAAATCCATTGGTTCTGAAGTGAAAACAACACACAGCATTGGTGCAAAGTGCTTGACGCACAGTGATAGAACTTAACTATAAACAATGGGAAAAACAAGACAGATAAATAATTATTTACATTCTTTTCCAACTCTTTCCCAGGCATCTGCCTGGCTAGAAACTCCTGTTTCTCTCTTTGACTGAATCTGAGTCCCACAATCCCCTTCTTCTTATATCTAGTAGCCTTTGGCAAATCTTCAATGGGCCTGAGAGGTGGCCACTGCATCCCTGCCATGTCCCTGTCATCCAGTGTCCTTCCTGCTTTCCTCTGCTCGGGGAGCAGCCATGCTCCCCATGGCTCTTTCCAAAGGTGACAGTGGAGCTTGGGGCTGTAGGAGGTGCTCAATGTGCCAGGCTCATCCGATGTCTCAAAGCGGTTTCCCTGTGGCCATGCTCCATCCTCCAAATTGCTGTGTGCTGCGGCACTCCAAAGAACCAGATGGATGCCAGGCTAATTGCAGCCCTCCTGGAGGAGCTTCCCACTGCATCAGGGCTCTGAGCACTGCTGTGTTGGGCACCAGTGGGGAAGCAGCCTATGGGTGCTGTGCCAGTGCCCTTTCACAAAGGCAGTCTGTGTGCCGAGGAGGGTGTTTTCTTGGAACCATTAATTTGCTGGCAGCTGGGCAGGGCCCATGAGGCCCCCGGCATGTGCCGATCCCTGAGCCTTCCTGTGCTCAGGAAGGGCAGGGTTGGGCCCCTTGGTCCCTTTGCAGCTGTTGTGGTTTCCGTCATGCTTTCCCCTGCTACTACTCATTTGCCAAAGCTGCTCATTTGCCTCATCCCAGCTCCCTGCTGATGTGGGCTTGGAATAAGACATTTTCTCCTGTGGGGAGAAGCCTTTCAGGACCTGAGTGCAGGTCAGGTCCCAGCTGGAGCCCCCTGGGTAGGGCAGACCCCAGAGCTGGCAGGTGGGTGCCACACAGCACACACTGGTGCCAGCATGTTCGTGCACCAGGGTCTGCAGGGCTGGTGTCCCATTATGTCCTTTCCTGGCACCCACAACTTCTGCAGCTGCTGTGCACACGCCCCTTCTCCTCTCTCCCCCCCACCTTCCCCACTGCCCTGACCCAGCTGCTGGGGCCAAGCCCACTCACTGCCAGCAGCTTATTTAGGGAAGGGCCAAGGCCTTGGCCACCAATATGCAGTTGAGGACTGTTTTCCTATCCTCAGAGCCTTTGGATGGCTGCAGGAAGAGCTGTCCTTACCACAAAGCTCTGCCTCCAGCCCCTCATTTTGAGCTGAACCAAGTTCCACCACTTCCCAGCCCATTAATGCTGCCCTGTTTGCAGAGAGCCAGGCCTCCTGGCTGGCTGCCATTGCTGCTGGACCATGCCTTTGTCCTGGTAGTAGCTGTTCCCACTGCAGTAGCATCCTTGGGATGCCGGCAGCCATCCAGGGCAGACGGAAAATGAGAGGCCCATGAGGATGGAGGGGCTGGTTTTCCCTCCCACACCCTCCACTGCTCTGGTAGTGCCGTGGCTCCTGCTCTTGCCAGCTGCTTCCCTGGCCTTGTGGTGGCAGAGGTGCCTGCTCTGGATAAAAGCCCAGAGCGTGCTGCAGATCTCAGCTCTAGTTGGGATGCTGGAAGGGATGGTACTGCCTGCTGGCCTAGTGGGGGCTGCTGAGGTGGGAAGGAAAGAGCACCCTGGCTCCAGACAGCTCTCCCAGAGGTTATGTGTGTTTTTAGAGTTGGCTTGCCCTAGGAGTTGGTAGTCCTGGCCACTGGTATCTTCAGTTGGGGAAGGTTAATGCTCCCTGTTGGGCTTTGTGACTGGCAAGGGTTGGAGGACCGCAGTTTTGGCTGCTGCTGGGGTGGCACATGGCATCTCTGTGCCTGCTCTGTGCTTGCTGGCTTCACTAAGATGGGAATTCCTTCCCGTACACCAAAGCAGAGAGGGCAAGGGCAATAGATTCTCAGGAAAGATAGCTTCTCTGCAGAGAAGTCTGCATACAGGCAGTGGTGTGGGGACCCCAGTGTGGCTTAATTTAGGTCCAGTCAAGGGACTGACCCTGGATCCCTGCTGCAGCGAAACCCAGAGAGCCTGGTTGGGTGGCCTGTCAGTGGCCCATAGGACAGGAAGGGAAGGGACTGATGCGCTTGTCCTATGGCACAGCCATGGCTTCTCCCAGTGCAATGGGGCTTGATGCTGACAGCAGCTGCTGTTGGTCACTGGGTTTATTTTTGACAAGCTCCATGGGAAATCACCTCCTGGGTTCCTGATGTCAGGGCAGTGTTGATGTCCTACAGCAGGACAGTGTGAGGATAGCAGGGCCATGCCTGCCCTGGCTGGCCTTTCACTGCAGATCTGGCTGCCTTCTGCCCCTTGAACATCAGGAGGTGTGTTCATAGCACTCTGGAAAAATTCGAGCTGGTAGTGGGGCTGCGCTGTGACCTGATCTGGAAGAGGGGGAGCAGCTCTGCATGCCCATGCCAGGTGCTGGCCTTGGGTGGGCTGAGGAGCACCTGGAGTGCCTGTAAGATGTTCATGAGGGACATTTGTGGGGCAGTTGCGGCTGTGCTTCCCACGCATAAAGGGTTGGACTTGGATTTAGGACAGATCCCACTCATGGATTTGGTTCCAAGAGCCGCCTACCATCTGCTAGCAGTGAATGAGGGTGGGGAGGGCTGCAGGGTGGACAAGATGACTCCTTGGTGGGATGCTGGGTTCCTTTCACCCAGTGCCCCCTGGGGAACATGGGATGAGAAGAGAATGAGCTCTCCTGTCCCTTCGCTGCTGGAGGGGCTGGCGTGGGTAGGAGGATTCATTCCAGAGCTGGTGGTACTGGGAGGGGCAGAGCACCAACCCTTGCAGACAGCAGGACCACTGGTGGGCGTTCAGTTTCCATGCTCGTCACTTTGACCTTTACATGCCCAGAGGTCTCAGTGCTACAATGACAGCCCCTCCTCACCACGGCTGATTCCAGCGTTCTGCCTCAGGGGGGCTATGCCCACCTCCCGCAGGGCCTGGCAGTGCCGGGCAGCATGCACTGGGCACGTGGGTGCCACACACAGACAGCGCCTTTGTCCAGAGTGTGGGCAGCTCGTGGCAGTGTGGCAGAGGGTGGCACCAGGGCCGAGATGAGGGCTCAGTGGCCAGAGCCAGTGCTGAGCCATGCCCTGTGCACCCAGCTGGAGGCCACACTGGACCTGGCTGAGCGGCGCCGCATCCGCTCGGCTATCCGGGAGCTGCAGCGGCAGGAGTTGGAGCGGGACGAGGAGACGTTGGCATCCAAGCGCTTCCGCCCAGAACGCAGCAGCCACCGACAGGACAACAAGGAGAATTGGCCACAGTGAGTCCTGTTGTGAGCTGGGGTCATTCCCTGCCTCTGCCCTGGCACACTGGGGCTGTGGTACCTGGCCCCACTATGGCTGCGACAGATTTGAGTGAACGTGAGGGTGGGAACAGCCTGGCACAGAGCAGCTTGGTGCATGGTGGGGCTTCTTGCCTGGATCTGCCACCTGCCTACAAGGGGACTTTGCTTGCAAGCACCCGTGACAGCTCCCAGATGGCCACCCCTCTCACCCTGCTCAGGTCCCAGCGCCTGGAAGAGGAGCAGGAGGCAGCCCTGGCTGCCTTGTCTGAGCAGCTTGAAGCCATCACCAGTGTGGAGGAACTGACAAAACTGGTGAGTGACCGTGTGCCAGGGCAGACCACTTGCTGGGGTGGAACTTGTGGTGGGGCTGACCATGGGTCACCCTGTGCTGGGGCTTTCCTGGGTCCTTCCCTCTTATAGCTGCGGGCAGCGGGTGAGTATGAGGAGCGCAAGCTGATCCGAGCTGCCATCCGTAAGCTGCGGGCTGAGGAGATTGAAGGTGAGGCACCGTTCCCTTGTTCCGGGGGGGAAGCCCCAGAAAGTGTGAGATGTGGGCAGCTCCTTCCTGAAAACCATCTTTGCTCCCACCTAGCCGCGAGCCTGGCTGGGAATCTGCAGAGCAGCCGAAGGGATGGCAGCAAGCCCCGCACCGTGCCTGGGGAAATGAAAATTGTCCAGAGGGACAATGCTGAAACACCAGCCCTTACTGGGAGTGAAGAAAGCTGTGGTGAAGGCAGCACCAAACCTCCAGACACAGACAAGAGCGGGGAGAGCAGCCAGCAGGATGATGTAGAGCCCGCAGTGGCTGGGCCAGAGGAGAGTGGATATGAGGAGGCTGTGGAGCAGGCCCCTGCTCAGGAGCCGAAAGGCTCAGCGGTGAGTATGTAGAGCACTGCAGGGTGTCGAACTGTTCAAGATTTCACCCTTTCCTGTGCCAGCCTGTCTGGAGCACAGAGCCCTGGGCAAGTTGTTCTTGCCTGTCCGTAGGTGAGGCTGGAGTCTTTGGGGACAGGGAAACACAGCTGGGCTGTGCCAGTGTGGCCCCAGCAGTGGTGAGCTGGGGCTGGGTCTTCAGGCCAGGGTGCCCCTTGGGCTTCTCCTGAGGATGCTACCTGGTGGGGATCTGGGAGCCCCTTGGTGCAGCGGGTACACCCATCTCTGCTCCAGTTCTTGGGGATGGGGCTCTTTGGAGGCAACAGCTATTCATCTCTCCTGCAGCAGTTCCCTTGTGTGGGTAGAAACCTCGATTCCCTGTCCCCCTTCTCATGATGGTTGTTCCTCACAGCCTTTGAGGGGCCAGGGCTCATTCTGGAGTGAAGCTGCTGGGAGCTTTCTCGATGGGGGAGGGATAAGCTGGTGGGCAGAACTGGAAGGAATGAACACAAACTGGGGTTTTCGGTGCAGCAAGGGTGGCACTGCAGAGACTCTGTGGTGATAGGAGACCTCTGCATCCAGCCCTGTGGGGTTGTCCTTTGAGGGTGAGGAGAGGAGAAGCAATGGGCGTACTCACAGCCAGGAAAGAGGGTGTGGGTTCTCCCATCTGCCTCTGTCCAGCCCTGCTTCTTCCTCCACCTGCCCCAGAGCTGTAGCAGGAGACTGCCAAAGGGATGTGGCCTTGTTCCACCTTTCAGCACTGTCTGCCTCCTCATCTGGATGTGCTGGCATGCTGCCCCCAAGCCCTGGCTGGGCTGAGACATCACTGAGCAGCTGAGAGGGCTGTTCTGCTTGATCTGGCTGATTTCGATCTGGCCATTTCCATTCTTGGGTTTGCGGCCTGGCTCTCCTATGCCCCCTGAGGGTATGGGCCCCTCTTCACCTCCCCCCGCCCTAGAGTCATGGTGCTGCTAGAGGCACTGGCACAGCCAGGACTGGCACCTTGTTCCCTACCTGACACCAGGACACCCTAGGCCTGCTCAGACTTATGTCAGAGACAGACCTATCACCTGTGTGTGGTCCTATGTCCAGAATATTTCATCATTTGCCAAGCAGAGCTGCAGGTGCTACGGACAAGGACAGGGTGTTGTGAGCTGGATGTTCCTGCATCATGGAGCCCTGGAGTGCCTGGGCTGGAGGCATGGGAGAGATTTGGTGTCACCCTTCACTAGACACTGTCTCCTTCCCTGCCCACAGGATGCAGCAGGGTGTGGGGACACTTGTCCCCCTGTGAGCCTCTTGTTGTGACCCCTGTGCTTGTCAATTCCCAGCAGCATGCAGGCAGGGACCTGGATAGCATGGGAAGAGTCCACAGCCTATGCATCCCTGGCTAGAATGGGCCATGGTGGCCCAGTGAGAGACTGGAGCGGGGCTGGTTCTACTCCCCCCAGGCCTCCAGGCAAGAGGATGTGGTGGAGGAGGAGCATGTCCCAGCTGGGATGCAAGAGCTGTGCAGCCAGCAGGCAGGAGACCCTCAGGAACCCAGTGCTCAGGGTGAGTCCCCACAAATGTCCGTGGCAAAATCCTGTCTGGGTTGCGTGCCTGGGGCCAGAGCTGTGCCTGGCCAGATGCAGGACGATGGAGGGCAATACTATCTCACAAAGGTGGGCAGGGTAGCCGGGTGCCTGGAGGGGCTGCAGGGTGCATTGCAGGCAACTGCAGGCTCCCTGAGCAGAGTCTCTTTTCATCCACAGCTGTGGTTTCGGGGACCGTCGTGCTCCTGGAGCTGCAGCCAGCCTCAGAGCCCAATCCAGAGCCTGAGGATGGTGGTGAGGACCTGCAGCAGGGTCTGCCCCTGGGGCAGCCCCCAGCAGCCTGGAAAGAAGGGAACCTGGGCAGCCCTGCCAGCGCCCCAGAGCCCAGTGTGGCACATAGCGCCAGAGGGGAGCAACTCACCCTGGGCCAGCCCAGTGCTGGCAGCCAGGTACAAAACTGGTGGCAGCTGCCACTGCCCTCCTTGCCTGGGGCTGGCAGTCTGTGGGTGAAGCCAATTTGATGGGTGTACTGCATGTAACCCCCAGCTGAGTGCTCTGCCCCTCTACTCCCACAGCTTCATGTTGGGGTGCACGGCCAGGTGCTGGGGCCAGGTGGGAGACACACAAGGCCATCAGTGGGTAAGTGTAGCCCTGACGGGGGGTGACAGGAGATCTGTGGTCCCTTTCCAGCTGGGCAGTGCCACCCCAAAGCCCCCCCACACCCCTGTCCTGCAGCATCCCAGGCAGCCCTGGGGACATGACTCCAGCTCGTGTGTGCTGGGCCGGAATGTGAGTGCAGGACAAGGCCAGGTCAGAGGCCACCCCTAGCTGGGGGCCAATTGCTGCCTAGCCAAGTGGAGGCAATGCCCACCCCAGCCAGGGAACTGGCTGCCAGGCAGGCTGTTTACTGGGGCTCCCACTCTGGCTGGGTTACTGCAGGGCCATGAAAGGGAATCAGTGCCAGTAGCAAACCGTGGCCTTTTGCATTCTTTGTCCCAATAAGGCTGGGAGCTGTGCACGGCTGGCTCTGACCACCCCCACCCTGGGCCCAGCACCCTGCAGGGCCTCCCCACAGTCCTGAGGGATTCCAGTGGACAGCAGTTGCCCTCTTCATACTGTTGGGAAAACCATCCCTATGGATGTGCCAAGAGGAAATGGGGAAAAACCAAAAAGCTGCTCTCTGCTTCAAGGGTCAGGGGTGCTGCCCTGGCAGGCAGAGGTTGCTGTCCTTCTGAGGAGCCCCTGGAGGCTGCTGGCTCCTGGGAAGATGCTAGGGGTGGTGGGTTGCAGCATGGCACAGCCCTGGGGTAGAGGCAAGTGTGCAGGATCTGACCCCCCTCCCCCGCCCCCAGCCTCACAGGGGGCTCAAACCTGGATTCTGAGGAGAAGCTGAGCCCCCTCCCTCCATGGGCACCAATGACTCCAGCCCAAGGGCAGAGCCCTTTCTGCAGCCTTGAAGGCTGAGCTGCCTGGGCCCTTCAACACTCCAGAGGCAATGGTGTGCCAGAACCTGCTGAGGACAGGCATGATCCCAACCTTTCAACACAGATCCCAGGGACCCCCACTGCACTGCTGGGCACAGAGCCTACCCTCTGCAGTGTGGTTTTGCATTGCAGGACAGAGCCCATGTCTGGGGTGCAGGGCAGCCAACAAGTTCTGATGGATTTTGGCACTAAATTCTGGGGAGCGTGGAGTGATGGGGAGGGAGACTGCAGGGTGCTGTGCTGGGATGGGGGGATGCCAGCAGCACCTGTGCAGTGCTCACCCTCTGTCCACTTTGTGTCATTTCTTCCCTGGCCTGTCTCTTTCCAAGCATCAGTGCCCACCCAGGAGGACACGGAGACCCCGGCTCGCCTGAATACTCACCGGTGGAAGCTGGTGCCCTCCTCTCCTTGCCTTGCTGGCCCCACGGGTAAGATCCTAGTGGTCACTGCCTCCATTCTCTGCTTCCCGGTGGTGGGATGTCCCCGGTGGAGCCTGGGCAGGTGTGGAGCTCCACAGTGCTGGGATAGCACAGGATGCTGCTGGCTGCCCACCTGCCCTTTTGCTTCCTGCCCAGAATCCCTCCCTCCCTCCCTCCCTCCCTTCCTATCCACGTGCACGAGCATCCAGCACCGGTGGGGGGAGGGAGCAGAGGCTTTGAGGGGCTGCAGCCACCCTGGGAAATGCTGGCTGTGTGATGGGATCTCTGGGGGACAGCGGTACCTTCCGTGAGCACCTGAGGGATTGCATGCACGCTCAGGCACTCCGGGGGCTTTGTGCGTCGTGTGGGCAACCGAGCGGGGGGAAGCTGTATGCACAGTGCGGCATCCCGGGGCGGGGCCGGCACGCATCGCAGGGGGCACCCCGGGGTGGGGGGCAGCGTGTACGGTCGGGGGCCCCGCGGGGCGCTGCGCGCACGGTGCGGGCCAGGCCCCGGCGGGGCCGCGCGCAGCGGCCGCAGCCCGGTGACCCCGCGCCCGTCCCCGCAGCGCCGCGCCCCGCGGGACCCGCGCCCTCCCCCGCCGCCGGCTCGGTGCGGGAGCGCGCGCAGCGGTTCGGGCCCGCGGGGGCGGGCGGCGCGGGGGGGCGGGCCGGGGCCGGGGCCGGGGCCGGGGCCGCCCAATGGCAACGGGGGCCCCGCTCGGCCCCGCCGCCGCCCGCTCAAAACGCGCGGGGCAGCGGCGGCGCAGAGCAGCGTCCGGCCCCGCGCCCCGTCGGCTCCCGCCTCGACGCCATGAAGACCTTCTTCACCATCGAGATCAAGGATGGGCGCGCGCAGCCCCTGGCGCCCCGCATCACGGCCATCCCCGGCAGCCAGCGGGCAGGTGGGCACTGGTGGGGTACGGGGTGTGCAGGACAGCTCCGGTGCACAGGTGGCATCTGTCATGAGGCTTCACACTGTAGGGGCGATGGGCATGGGTGTCATACAGGGAGGTGGGACTGGGAAAGGTGTGGATCTCAGGAAGGTGAGCACCGCAGGGGAGTGGACATCCACCCGGCTGTAAGCCCTACAGGACTGTGCTCCTCATACGACAATGTGCACAGCTGGGCAGTGGAGCAGGTGGGTACCAAGTAGGCTGTTGGGCACTTACATTTGGTGGGCACAAATGGGTAGGGGAAGGCAGGCAGGCTGAGCCAGGTCAGTTGGGTGCTGATTGGCAGCAGGGGCATTTGAGTGCTGCCAGAAGAACAAAGCATGCCTGGTAGCCCTCATCCTTTGGCATGCACTCTTACCCTGCTTGGGGCATCTCAGTTCGGGGAGATCATCTGGCCCTGCAGCCTGTCCCCAGCTCCACTGTCTTACTGTGTTTATGTTTGTGGTCATTCTTCAGTCCCTGCCCTGCCCCATGCTCTCCCCACTAACCTGCTGGTTCAGGGGAGCCCACACCATCCTGCTCTGTCCCATCCCACTGCTGCACCATGTCTGTTCCAGCCCAGCCCCAGCCCTGCTTGCCCGAAAATGTGGCTGGCTCAGGATGTTCCTGTGGCCATCCCTCTCACCGGGGGGTCTTGGCTCCAGCTGAAACACTGCAAAAAGTTCCCTTCCTTGGGGAGGATAATAAGCCAGGGCAGTGAGGGATCTCAATTGCCACATCTCTTGCTTGCTCCAAAGCCCTTTCCCTGTGCCACAGTTCAGTGCTCACTGCCAGGGCAGGATATGTGGGGGAGGCAGATAGCCCAGCCAGAGCCACTCCCCAGCTGTGGGGCTGAGCCTGTGGGCTGGGTCAGACCCTACATGCCTCTTGCTCCCCTTGTAGAGGTGACTCTGGATCTGCGGAGCACCCCCATCCGTATCACCACCATCCCTAGCAGCGTCAGCAGCATCTGCAACATCAGCAGTGTCAGCAGCAATGTCACCAAGGTGAGTGCTCAGGGAGTCTGTGGGGCTGTGTCCCACCTGGCCATTGCCTGGCAGCTCCAAGGGCTTGGGGTGGGGAGCAGGGACCAAGGAATTAGTGTAGGCAGCATGCTCCAGAGGCTCTGTCTTGTTTTGGTTGGTGCTTTTGTTTTGATAGGGTTTTTTTTATCAAGAGACCCAGGACTTTGTGTGTGGTTGCACAGCCCCAAGTGGGCCTCCTGCACTCTGGACTGTGCCACCATGTACTCAGACACTTGGGGAGGTGGGCAGATGGGGACAAGGAATATTTAGTGGGTCTCCCTTTGTTTTAAACACCTTTAAGGGTGGCAGCAACTCAGGGAAAAACCCATTGCCAACCACCCCTCTGTTTTTCCTTGTGGGGATGGACCTTGGCCATGTATCTGGGGAGCCTGCCTTGGAGGGGGGCTACTCTTCAAAGGTGTCTAAAGCACCCTGGAGCTGTGAGCTGGGGTCTTTCACGTTTCTGCTATGCCATCCTGAGTGGAGAGTGCCCAAAGCCCAAGCCTGCCTAGGAGGGATTCTTGGGTGCAACTGGAGAAAAAAACCTGGAAAAAAAAACCCCTCTGCAGCGTCTTTGAGGGGAGAGCAGGCTGTGGCCATCCTGGGCTGGGTGCATACAGGAGACAGCCCTTCAAGTGCTTTAATCTGCTCCTGCCCATCTAGGGTAATGCAAGGCGCCCGTGTGCTGCCTTGGCAGGAGCCAGGATGTCAAACGTGGCTCTGTTTCACTCATGGCCCTGCGCACGCCTGGCTGCCTCTGCAGGAATAGCACTGTGGGAGGCCTGTGTCACTGCCAGTGGCTGTGGTACCACCTGTGGCCTGGAGCATACTGGTGGCTGTGGTACCACTGGCTTCATCCCATCCTCAGCCCAGCCCTTGCCAGCATGAAGCAAAGCAGTGTCCACAGGTGCTGCCCACACCTGCCAGCAGGTCCTGCCTGTGAGCAGCTGGCTGCGGTGGGGCGACTTCCCTGTGCTAATGTGCTTGGGCCTGCTTGGCCTGAGCACTTGTCAGCTCTAATTAAAGTATTAGTGGGTCTGTCTGGTGAGGTGGGGGCCTGAGACCCGCTGGCTGCCTGACAGGAGATGCAACCTCCAGCTATGCTCCTGGTGGGCAATGAGGAGGAGGAGGATCAGGCAGTGGTGCTGGCAGCCCTGCCAGGTAGGGCTTGGCTGGGGGACCAGCAGGCTGTAGGGACCTGCGGGCAGCAGCCACAGCGGCATGTCTTCTCATTGGTGGGGTGCTGCCTGTATCTATGCAGGGACCTGCTCCCCCTGGGGCAGGCATTGGGGAGCATGGGGATATGAAGACCTAAAATCTATGCTGTGACCAAGGCCCTTGTACCAATGCCAGCCTGGGGCTGGAGATGTTGTGCTGTGGGTGATGCTGGCCCAGAGTGGGAAGGCACTTGGACAGAAGAAGACAGCAGTAGTTGGCTTTTTCATTCACCCAGCGCTGCAGTGGTCAGGGCTGGTCCCCACCACTTTGTCCTACAGCCCCCAGGCTGGTATCTGGCCCTAGAAGCCTTCAGGGGCGGGGGGGCCACTTGCAGGGCTCCCCTTGCTGAGCCACCTGGTCCCATAGCCGAATGTGCTGCCAAGTGTGGCGCCTGGCTCAGCACCCCTGCACGGGACCCCCGGCTGCTGGGACCAGAATAGCCCACAGGCAGGAAGCGGGCCAGCCTCCAGCCGGGGGGGGTGCCTGGGTCCCTATAAAGGACAGCAGGACAGATGAGCAGGGCTCACCACAGCGCCTGCATCGCCACCATGCCAGGGCTCAGCTTGGAGGGGCTGGTGCAGGCTGGGGTGGCTGAGCTGGCAGAGCTGCGGCAGGAGCTGGTGGCATTCCGGGAGGCAGCAGAGGGGCAACTGGAGCGGGCTCTGCAGCGAGTGCAGGCACTGGCGCAGGCACTGCAAACACTGGAACAGGAGCACCTGGAGTTGCAGGCAGAGCTGGGGCGCCTGGGCCGCCACCTCGATCTGCTGGTGCCAGGGCTGCAGGCGCCCCCCAGGGAGGACATCAGCACCCTCTTTCTGGAAGCACAGGACCCTTGCACCCACTTTGAGGGCACTGAGGAGCCCAGTGACCCTGTGGCCCATCCACCCACTTTCTCCAGTACGCGCCAGCAGTCGACCCTGCATCTCTCTCCAAGCAACAGCAGCGTGAGTGTGGGCAGCCCTGCCCCATGACTGGGGGAAGGGAGGGGGTCACCAGCCCCCAGGGCTCTTGGGGGTATCTTTAGCCCTGGCACAAGGCATGACTGTGGCAGTGGTGCACAGGGACATGGCACTGTAGGGATCTGCCACTCCTTGGGCTCACTGTGGCAGGGCTGTGTACCCACCTGTTTTGCATTCCCAGTGTGCCAGGTGGGAGGCCACAGGCAGTAGTCTTGCCCCCACCACAGCACCAGGCACAGGTGGTGGATGGGCGCATGTGGCCAGTGTAAACTCCTGCTGTGGCTTTGCCATGGATCAGTTTACCATGTAACAGGATGCAGGATGGGGCCAGGTGTGTGCATGGCTGCTCTGGCCCCGCTCTGTCATCCCTGGTGCCTCTGTGCCCTATTCTGGGCCTGGCCCACTGCCTGCTATGCATTGCTGGGGGGTTGTGCTGAAAGGGATTTGGCATCCTGACTGTGCTCAGGCCGAACTGGCCTAGATCCTGGCAGGGATGTGGAGGAAGGCTCTTGATCTCTTGTACAAGCTCTTCTCTACACTAAGTCCCTTAATTCCATGGAAATCCCTGTGCTGCTAATGGTGTGCACTGGCCTTGCCAGCACCTTGCCCACTGCTGGGTAACAGCCACTGCCAGTCCAGAGCCCTGGGCAACTCCTGCCTGCTGGGGGACCCAGCCGCCTTTTACCAGGGAGCAGGGAGGATTTGGAGATATTATGGCAGCCAGACCGAAAGGAAGAGAGGGACTGCTGGACTTTCCTGGGGCATGGGGTGCTGCAGATTGTCATGTTCCCCTGCCTGCCTTGGGCGCTGCACATGCTTGTGGCATCCCACCAGCTGAGAGCACTTAGGCCCCATGTGGCACCACCATCCTCTCCAGGGTTCTCACTGCCTGTAGCACTGGGCAGGTGTCAGGGTGATGTCAGGGCCTGGACGCTGCAAAGAGGTGGGGGCATGGCCAAGCTGGCAGGGGGCTCAGCTGCACAGTGATGTCCTTGCAGATGGAGCCAGAGATGGTGGAGCAGCAGCAGGCACCAAGGCGAGAACCAGAGCTGCCCAACGGCATGGAGAAGGTGCAAGTGAGGGAGGTGGAGAGAAGGAGCAAGCTAAATGTCGAGGAGCTGAGCAAGATTGAGGATGAGGATGTTCTGGATAAGATGGTACTTCTTTCTCTGGTTCGGGCTCCTGCAGAAGGTAAAGAGACCTCAAGCTGATGGCAGAAGACTAATGATGACTTCCACCTCCTGCAGTTGGATCGGACAACAGACTTTGAGGAGCGACGGCTGATTCGAAATGCCATGCGGGAGCTGCGCCAGCGCAAGCGAGGTACTCGGGGATGGTGATCTCTGCTGGGGTCAGAGTGGTGGTGGTGGCAATACAGGGCACTGAAGTGTGGCTGTCGAGCTGCGGAGAAGCAGTAGGAGGGTGTGTGCTGGTTCCTCTGTTGCCCCCCTGGCTTTGCAAGGCCAAAGACATCATCCTTCCCAGAAACCAGTTGTGGGCCAGCAGCAGCTGCAGGACCCCTGCTGTGGCAGGACCCATGCACACCGCCCCACTTCCCTGATGATACTTGTGTTTGCAGACCAGCGGGAGAAAGAGCGGGACCAGCGGCTGCAGGAAGCGAGAAGCCAGTCTGTGACAGGAAGGGCTGGCCATGCCACAGAGACCACCACCACGCAGAGCACTCAGTCAGCCGATGGCTCAGCACGCAGCACTGTCACAAAGACTGAGCGTCTTGTCCAGTCTAGTATGGGCTGGGCTGGATGGGGAGTGGGTGGTGTGCCAGCCCTTTTGGGGCCTTGCAGAATCCTTCCCAGTGCTCCTCCCCCACAGCTCCTTTGCCATTCACTGTCCTGAGTCTGGCTAGACTGTCCTGGGAGCAGGACAGTTTTCCAGAGCTGAGTCTCTGGCTTGCCCAGAGCCTGGCTGGGGATAATTAAGGGTTCTGCTCTAGTCACTTCCCTCTGAATCCCCAACCCTGTCAGGGTGGCAGGGCCTCATCTGCACCTTCGCCCTGTGTCTTGTCTCCTATATCCCTGCTCTCCCAGTTCCTGGATGGCTCAAGCTGAGTGGCTGCAGGGGCTGAGGGATGTCCCAGCTCCCTGCTGCTTTGCACTTGCCTCTTTGTTCTCTGCCTGGGGGGCACATGCCCTCTGTCCTTGCCATGCCCATGGTTCTACCACCTGGGACTTCTCCCTGTTGCACAGCGTGGGTGTGAATGTGCTTGGCAGCAGCAGATGTCTGTGGGTACTGCTCCTTCCAGCCCAGCGGTTCCTGTTGCTTTGTCCCTGCAGGTGATGGCACCAAGACCTCTCGTACTACAACTATGGAGTCAAGTTACGTGAAGAAATCAGACAGTAAGAGTTTTTCTTGCCCTTTCCCCCTAGAATCCTCAGGGTGTAACCCTGGGGCATCGCTGCTGCTGAACTGTCACTGCCCTGGTGCAGGCAGAGTTCTGCCTTCCTGGCACAACTGCCCTCACCTCCTGCCCAGGGCCTCTTTCCTTCCTTTCTCTCTGCAGATGGCAACAGGACTTTCGTTCAAACCAAATCATCCTACAGCTCCTCATCCAAAAAGACAGGCAGGTGAGCAGATGTGCCTGTGAGGACAGCCCCACATGGTCCCTATCACTCATGTGCTTGCACAAACCCTCTACCCAGCTTGCAGTGTCCCCACACAAATGTGACCCCAAAGCCTGCTGCTCCTTGAGGTACATCCATTGTGTTCAGAGGTTCTCATGGGTCCTTCCTTGGCCGCAGAGATACGTCGGCCAGCTGAGGACTTTAAGCCACCTCTCTTCTATCCCAGGGACATGGAGGTCTCCAGAGCTCCAGGGCTGGCTATGGGCTGAGACCACAGCTTGCCCTCCTCTGGGCTGCCCACAACCCCTTTAGCATTGCCTGTCTCTCTCTCAGCATTTTTGACCGTGAAGATGAGAGTGCTTCTCGGCAGAGCAGCCTGGCTGCACTGGAGCGGCGTCAGGCAGAGAAGAAGAAGGAACTAATGAAGGCTCAGAGTCTGCCCAAAACATCGGCCTCACAGGCACGCAAAGCTATGATGGAGAAGCTGCAGAAGGAGGGTGGGAGGTGAGGCTGGGCCTAGGGCAGGCTGGCCAGGCCAGTAACTCCTGCACAAATAACACCACCCTGGAGCTTTAGATAACACCCCATGTCTCCTGCCACAGTTCAAACCCTGCAGCATCACAGACTGCCGTGCAGCGCTCCTCCAGCTTTGGCGTGCCTAATGCCAACAGTATCAAGCAGATGTTGCTGGACTGGTGCAGAGCAAAGACCCGGGGCTATGAGGTGGGTGCCACCTCCTCTTCCTGTCCCAAGGCCAGTCACTCTGTCCCTTGGTAACTTTGTTGCTCTCTCAGCACGTGGACATCCAGAACTTCTCATCCAGCTGGAGTGATGGCATGGCCTTCTGTGCCTTGGTCCACAATTTCTTCCCTGATGCATTTGACTACAGTAAGCTGACGCCCCAGAACCGCCGCCAAAACTTCGAGGTGGCCTTCTCTTCTGCAGAGTACGTACCTCTCTTGCCATCATATGGACTTGGGATGGCTTGGAGCAGCTTGGGGTGGCTCTCCTGCTCGCTGCTGGGCCGAGGGGGGACACATGGAGGTGATGGTGCTGAAGGTGGGTGCCTGTAGGTGTCATTCCCCCATGCAATGCTACAAGGTTAGGTGCTGTGGGGGCAAACAGCAGCTGTATGGGTAGAGTCACAAGAGGCCAGTGCAGCCCAGTCTGGTGTGGCAAGGGTGGGTATGGGGGTCTGGGTTCCTGGATGTGGGGCAAAGCATCCACAGGCGGAGCAGCAGTCCCATGAGCCCACCTGGCTTCAGGCAGTACTTTCCATCCTGGGGTACCAGGTGTGGGACTGCAGCCTGTGGGGGAAGAGGGTTTGCCTATGCCAGGTTCCTCCTTTCACGGTTGTAGGGGCTCAAACACCATTGCACCTTCTCCAGTCTCTTCCCTTCCACTTTTGCTTCTGGTTTTCCTGGGTGCTGAGAGGTGGGAGTGCGCCTAGCTGGAGGGCTGGCAGCCAGCCCCTCTCTCCTTCCTTCTGTCTCTCTCCCACCCACCCACGCCTCTCCTCCAGCAACCTGCCAGGGGGCAGGGCTGGGAGTGGAGGTTCCATCCTGCTGATATCCAAGGTGGCAGGGTGAGATGGGGACTCCCACAAGCTCCCAGGGTGCCATGATGCTGTTTGGTGGAGCGAGAAATGGGCTGTGGGCCTGGGTCTTGGCACTCCTGTTAATGGATTTTTTGCCTTAATTGGGAAACTGGTGTGTGGACTTGAGAGAGCCATCGATCTCTCCGGCCTGGAAGCCAGGTGGCCTCTCGTCCTTCCTCCTCCTCCAGCTCTTGTGAGCATCCTTTCCCGAGCTTCCTGCACCAGGGCTGTGCCGCTGGTTCCAAGTGGAGCTGGGCAGGAGGGCTGGGCTTGGCCCCACCCCCCTCCTCCCAGCGGGTCTATATAGGAGCTGTATAGAGTGCCGCTCCACTCTGGAACCCGCTCCCCGAGCACCTGGCGCACCAGAACACCTCACTCATCCTCCTACTCGTCCTCTTCCGTCTGTCTTTCCCTCTGAACTTCACGCCTCTCCACGCCACTCACATGCCCCTCTCCCCCTTGCTTGTGCCCCCCAATATCACTGAATGGCCTTGGCATGGGGTGCCTGGAGCCCTCCTGCCCCTGCATTTGTGCATCCCCAGAGCATGCCAGAGCGGAGCAGCTGCCAGTGGGATGGGAACTGCACTGATCTGTGTCTCTCTTGTTTTCTCTTCCTCCCCTCCCTGACTGGGCTGCGGTCACTGGCTTGCCCCTCTCTCTCCCCGCACCCAGGAAGCACGCGGACTGTCCACAGTTGCTGGACGTGGAGGACATGGTCCGGATGCGCGAGCCAGATTGGAAGTGTGTGTACACATACATTCAGGAATTCTATCGCTGCCTGGTCCAGAAGGGGCTGGTAAAAACCAAAAAGTCGTAGTCCATTGTCAGCCCCCCCAGGACCGATGGTGAGAACCTTCCCCTCCAAGTACCTGCCCATGTGCCCACCACCACCAGGGCTCAGTAGGGAACTGACTGCCTCAGCTGTGGAAGAGGCTGGGGGATGCTGATGGGTGAGGGGCGAGTCCTGGCGGTTCCAGACAGGACCCAGCAGAAGATAGGCACAGACAGCTGGCTGGGCTCCAGCCTTCTGGAATAGCACCTCTGGGGGTTTGGGCAGGGGGACTGTGTCACCCTGGAGTGCTGTTTGTTCTCCAGCTGTGGGGAGGGCAGTAGTTAGAACAGAGCCCTGCCCCCATGGCTGAGCCTGACCCAGGGATCAGCTGCTGAGGATGCCACTCAAGGTGTTCTGAATGGTGCTGCCTCAGTGTGGGCGGCCCCCAGGATGCTGCAGCATCACTGCTTCCACTTGCCTCATTGCCCTGCCCCAGGGTGCACGCCCAGCTCCAAGATGCTGCCTGCTCATATATGGGCAGAAGCAGGAGCATGGAAAGTGTGACTCAAGGCTCAGGTCCTGCCTCGTCCTGCAGTGTTTGTGCCTGTCTCAGGGCATCCTGGCTGGTGCTAGAGCTGTGGCTCCCCTGGCTCTGCACAGCGCTGGCACACCAGAGCCCAAACAATGGCTTTATAAGGGCAGAGTCACTCTGTGTGCACTGCCATTGCTCCGCCACTACCCCCTGAGCCAGGCTGGCAGTGGCAAGGTCTTTCCCAAGGCTCCAAGCATCATTCCCCACCATCCCCACAGTGGCCAAATCATGAGGTGGGGTTGGTGCAAGCCAAGCTGTGGGCTTGGAGCCCACTGAGCAGGCAGCAGAGACCTAATGCAATGGCTGGGGCCATGGGACCCAGAGTGGGGGCCTCTCCTGGGCCCTGGTGCTCCCCAGGGGCTGGAACTGGCTGGGGTCACTCCTTGAGGTGGGGCTGTTCTAGGGGGCCAACATGTGCACTGGGGCTATTGCAGGAGGGGAGAGGGAGTACAGGGCTTGGGGTTGAGGGTGTTGTTGTGGTGAGTGGCAAGCATAGGGTTCAGACCCTCCTGGTGTACCCTGTCTTTGGGGGCAAAGCCTTGCCTTGGGAGATCCTGCTTGTGCATCCAGATCCTTGGGGCAGAACCTTGAGCAGCCGGGGCCAAAGCAGCTGAACTGGCCATGGCAGCAGCAGGTGCTGCCAGTTTGCGTCAGCACTGCTCCCAGTGCCAATGCAGCCCTTGCTGCAGCAGCAGCCTGAAGAGGGAACAGTGCCAGGTAGGGGTACAGAGCCTGGGCAGAGCCAGGAAGGTTGGCTGCAGTGGTAGGGTTGCTTCTGTGCCCCCCACCCCTTCTCTCCCAGTAGAAAGGAGAGGACAAGAGGTGACCAGATCCCCTCCATATCCTTCCTCGTTGTCATCGTGACTCCTAATCATGTTGTCAGTCCCTTCAAATGTCCAGGGAGCCCCAGCTTGGGGAGAAATATGGCCCAGGGAACTGGATGGGTGGCAAGGCAGAGTGGGCCGCCCCACCAAAAGTTCAGCAGCAGAGCCTCAAGACTACTATGGGGATGGGGACACAACCACAGCTAATCTGCCAGGGTGCCACAAGGCTGGTAGCTCCTGGAGCTGGGTCCTGCACGGACCCCTGCACTGTGGTGGGGCAGGGAGAGGAGGAGATAGGCTAAGCTGAGTGAGCTGAGGCAGGGCAGTGCCCACTCCAGCAGTAGGGTGTGCTGGGCCTGGTGCAGGTAGGCCCTGTGCTCCAGTCCAGGGCAAGGGAGGAAGCCAGGTTGGCAGGAATTTGAGGAAGGCAAAAGAGCAGGGCCGGAGTTTGAGGCAGGAGTAAGGGGCAGCACATAACCAAGACCCGCCCCCTGCTTTCCCTGAACCACTTGGTAGGGTTTGAGGCAGGGGCACAGCAGACACCTGCAGCCAGGCTGGGCTTTCCCTAGAGGCCATGAGCATCAGCTGGAGGAGCAAGAGGAGGAGGGTGGGCACAGTTTTAGGAGGGGATGACTGCCAGCACCCAGAAGTGGGATGGAGAGCATCTGAAGAGCCAGGGGTGCAGACAGCTAGGCAACCCCTGCCCTGGGGCAGGCACCTCCCAGGGCAGACAGCACATACTCTTCCCCGTGTCAGGAGCAGAAGGGCTGTGGGTACCAGGGTGGAGTGGGGGGTGTGTGAAAGGAGCTCAGCAGGTCTGAGGGCAGCAGTGCCCATGCCAGGAGGCCCTGGGCAGTGTGGGGTGCCCATTCCAGCCCCAACATGGGGTAGCCTGCTTGAGGCCATGCTGAAGGCTTCATCTCTGCAGGACGCTGGTGGACTGCGTGCCGCTGGTGGAGGTTGAAGACATGATGATCATGGGGAAGAAGCCTGACGCCAAATGCGTCTTCACCTACGTGCAGTCCCTCTATAACCACCTGCGTCGCCACGAGTTGCGCATGCGGCAGAAAGAGTGCTAGAGCCTGCCTTTCCCACCCCCACTGCTGCCCTCGCCCCAGAGCTGCCTGCGGGTGAGGGAGCTGCTTGCCTGGGAGGGTCTGGGGGGCCATGGGTCTGGCACTGGGGACAGGAGAACTCTTCCACCGGGCCACCCCCACACATCTGCCTTGGCAGAGCTGCTTCTGTCTTGACCAGCTGTGGGCAGAGCCAGGTGGGTGCTGCTGGGGATGCTCCTACCTTGGCTTGCCCCCCTTGCTCCAGCCTTTTAAGTTATTTGTTCTGCAGGAATTATTTGCCCTGCAGATACCATCCCTGTGTCCCTGAGGTGGCACAGGCACAGCTGTGGGGCCAATTCACGGGTCTGTGACTGAGCAGGACTGTGCAGTGCAGCGAGGATCACTGTACATCCTGCAGGCAGCACCTGTCAGTGGTTCCCTTGGCCCCCTGCAAGGAAGCCTCTCTGCCCACTGCAGGCCTTGCTTGGTGTCACCTCCCTGGGGACAGCTCTACAACCATGCCAACTCCCTGCTTCCCACCTCCACGTGCATCTGAGGCGCTACCACATTAGGGGCACCTGTGGGCTGGGGAGGGGGGTGCAAGGTGAACGGACCAAGCTGGGACAACCGCCCCCACTCTCCTCCAGCTCAGGCCACCCATATGCTCAGCGCTACTCGCCCCTCTGTCACATCTCTACACCTGCGCTGACATATGTACCAACACCAGCCAGATAATAAAGGTTGATCTAGGGCAATGCCTCTGGCTCAGGTCCTTCTGCCAGTGGCATATTGCACACACAGTGCTTGGGGAACCCTGGCAGTCCAGCTGCTGCAGGCTCCCTGCAACACAACTGCTTACCCAGCCTGGAGGGACACTGGGACACTAGTGCTCCTCACGTCATTGATGATGTCCATAGCTGAGCCACCCTGACCAGGGTTCACTGCCCCCTATTGTCCCAGGCCTGGCACAGGGCAAAGATCCCCCGTGGCCAGCAAGGCTGTAGTCAAGTGCAGCTCTGCCCCACTGCCTTCCCTAGCTGAGGGCAAGATGTCCCCACTGGGCCAGTGCAGCCATGGGGCTTTGGTTCAACACTGCAGGACTCATGGGCTCATGCCCATCCTCCTGCACTCTGTGTGAACAGCTCATCCCATGCTACGGTGCCCACCACCCTCACCCCTCTATCATGCTGGGGAGGGGTGGCACAGGAACAGCACAGTTGGTCTGTAGGTTGGTATGTGGCTCACCAGCAACGACTGTGATTGTGCCATCCTCTCCTGCCTCTGTGAGAAGCTCTGGGGCACCCAGCTGTGCTTGGAACACAGCAGTTTGGGATGCACACCACCGAGCTCCCTCTGAAAAGATGACACAGTGCAGATGACTGCAAAATAAAAGCTTTACTAGGAGCTGGATATGACATAAACCCTGCTGCGGGGGGGTAAAGCCCCCTTTTTGGGGCAGCTCTCCCACCTTTGGGACTCAGCACATCTACCCTTAGCACCTGGCACTTTCTGCTGAGGGTTTCATCCCGTCCCATGCAGGCAGGATACTGCTGCCCAGTCTGTGCACAGCAAGATTGCACAGAATGCTCCTCCTTCTAGATTGGCCAAGGATAATGGGCTCCAAGGACAGGAGGGCATCAACCAGCACACAAACAAGACCAAGGGGAGAAAACCTTTGCCACCCTGTGATAGCATGTCCAGCTGCCATAACACCCTCATTCCCTACACTGGGAACTGGCTGCAGGACCCTGTCCTAAGGGTGGCACTCCTTGCTAGAGGTCTGGGTGTTCTTCCTTGTCATGTTTGGGTGGGGTCTTGCCATCAGCAGTGGGTGCTTGGGGATGCAGCAGTATTGGCAGAGACTTGGCAGGGGCAAACTGGAACTCCTCTGGCACAGGGGCATCAGGTGTCTCCTTGCGGTAGAAGCCCAATTCCTGCACCAGCTGGTTGATCTCTTCCCGGGTCATGTCGCTCAGGGGAATTCTCTGCACCCAGAAAGGGGCTGTAGCCTGGCACCTGTGGGGCACTAACCACCCCAGGCCCTGTGGCAGCAGGTGCCACACTGCCCACTCACCTCTAGCTCTTCATACCGGACGCTGAGGAGCACAAGCTCAGGGTCAGCACCAGGCAGGTGTTTCATCTCCAGGTTATGGCTGGGCAATGTGTCAAGGAGCGAGCAGCACTGATCAGGCCCATGTAACCCTTATCCCGTCCCATCTTTCATCATATCCCCTTCTGTCCTCCGTCATATCCCATTCCTGTCTATCTTGTACCATCCTCCATCTTCTCTCATATCCCATTGCCTTCCATCCCATCTGTTCTGTCCTCCGTCCCATCCTGTTTCCCATGTAATACCATCTTATCCTTCATTACATTCCCCAACTACCCATTCTCCACTCCTCACGAAACGCTGTCCTTCATTCCTCAGAAAGCCCCATCCTCCCTCAGTCCATACACACCCATGCTTCATTCCCTTGCATCCTGTCCTTCACCGATCCCACCTCGTCGCCCACCCACTCCCCTGCAGTCCCGTCCCGTCCCGCCGAGACCCCAGCGCTGCAGCCGCCGCCGGCAGGTACTACAACGGGATGTCCTGGGTGACGAACGCCTTCACCTGCGGAGAGCGGCCGGTCGGGCCCGGCTGAGCGTTGGGAAGCCCCGACCCCCGCCCCGGCCCGGCCCCAGCACGTACCTCCCTGAGGCGGTTCAGCCGTCACCCGCCGCAGCTCTGCGGGACAGGACACGCGTCAGGCACCGCGGCACCGGCTCCGCCCTGCGCGCCCCGCGCTCCCCGCCCGCGCTCACCTCCACCTTGCCGCGGGCCAGGTCCCGCAGCACGGTCTGGCGGAGCCGGGGGTGCTCCGAGCCGCTGCCCGCCACCAGCGCCGCCGTCAGCAGCAGCCACAGCCCCGGCCCTGGCCCCGCCCCGACGGCACCGCCCGCATCGCTCCCGCCGCTGCCACGTCCGGCGCGGAACGGCCGCGACCGCCGCACGGCGCATGCGCGGTGTGCTGGCGCACGCGAATGCAAACACGGACACGCGTGCGCTCACGTGCGCGGACATGCGCACAGCGTGCGTACAGTGCGTGTATCGCGATAGAGCCGCGAGCGCTCAGCGAGCACAGAGCGACAGCGCCGCACACACGGCAACACACGGCAACACACGGCAACACACGGCAACACACGGCAACCGAGCACAGACCGACAGCGCCGCACACACGGGAACACACGGCAACACACGGCAACACACGGCAACACACGGCAACACACGGCAACCGAGCACAGAGCGACAGCGCCGCACACACGGCAACACACGGCAACACACGGCAACACACGGCAACCGAGCACAGAGCGACAGCGCCGCACACACGGCAACACACGGCAACACACGGCAACACACGGCAACACACGGCAACCGAGCACAGAGCGACAGCGCCGCACACACGGCAACACACGGCAACACACGGCAACACACGGCAACACACGGCAACCGAGCACAGACCGACAGCGCCGCACACACGGGAACACACGGCAACACACGGCAACACACGGCAACCGAGCACAGACCGACAGCGCCGCACACACGGGAACACACGGCAACACACGGCAACACACGGCAACACACGGCAACCGAGCACAGACCGACAGCACCGCACACACGGCAACACACGGCAACACACGGCAACCGAGCACAGACCGACAGCACCGCACACACGGCAACACACAGCAACACACAGCAACACACGGCAACCGAGCACAGACCGACAGCACCGCATACACGGCAACACACGGCAACACACACACGGCAACACACAGACCGACTGTGGTGTTTTTATATTGGAGGCACTCTGGGAAGTGACTTTCTAAAAGAAGCTGTTAACATTTTCCTCTGTCTCTGACAAAAAAGATAAATCAGTAATTAGTTTTGAGAATCGACAACTTGTTAAACTACTAAGGAAGATGTAAATGCCTCTGTGAAGATACCTGTTAAAGACAAAAAAGCCCAGGAGGATCTTTTTCCCTTCTGGCCGGCAAAGAGTGAACAAGGCCGGACGGCCCCGTCTCAGCGGGCCGGGCCGGGCCGGGCCGGCCATGGCTGCGGGTGCTGCCATCTGGCTTCGCCCGAGCCCTGCCCCGCCACCAGCCCGGGCCCAGCCAGGATCCGCCGGGCCCCAGGAGCAGCCAGGGCTGAGCCGGCTCGGCCAAGATTCTGCTTCTGTTGAGGTTCACCTGCAACCACCGGGCAGGGGGAGGAGAAGCCATCGGCCCGGCCGTGCTGCTGAGATGTGCTGCTTCTGTGTTCTGGCCTGGCTGCTGAGATCCTACCTGCCCCCTGGCCCAGCTGCTGCTTTGGCTGCAAGATACAGAGCCCAGCCAGTGTCGTGTAACCATCTGCATGCCCTGGGTGAGATATTAACTCTTTCAGTGCCTCCCTCGAGTGAGAGAAAAGGACAAAGTACAAACACATAGAAGAACAACATGAAGACACTGAGATCAGTGAAGAAGTGAAGTTCCAGATTAGAGGGATGAAGAGATGCCTTTAGTTTTAGGCTGAAAATCCTCTTATAAAGATACAGAGACGAACATAATTGATACATCAGGCTCTTTGTCCCTGTAATGCACTGAAAAGTATGGGGAGATGAATCGTTCAAACGGTAGATGAAATGAACAGTCCTTATGCCTTTATTAATGTTCAGCTCTTTATTAAAAAGATCAGCTGGGCAGGGGGCTCGACACGTAGCTCGCCCCCGCTGTTGTAGCTTTTTCCAAGTAGCTGAAGGGTGAAGAGTCGCACAGAGTTTGTGGCTGAAGTCCAGCAGCAGCTGTCCCCACTCTTTTCCTCGTGGTAACACCGGGACGACCTGCCTCTCTGTTCCTGCTTCCCACCGCCCAGTCCAGTCTAGTCTTCAGGTTATGGTGACAGGTCAAACGTCGATCAGAGATGTGGTTCCCTTTTCCTCAGCCAGAGCACCTGTCCAGCCCCCTCGACTGTGTTTAATTCTCCATTTAGGGGTGTCTTTATCCCCAAAACCCGCTCCCATGATTCCACAGATTGTTCTATTTGCATCCTAATCGTAGAATGGCAGTGCGGGGGGGGGGGGGGGGGGGGGGGAGGGAGTATAGGTAATCCCCAAGTGGTTTAGAGAAAACAGACAGAGCAATTAGCTAATTACCATTTCAATATCAGTACTTAGCTGGAAGTAGCCACTGCCCCTCCCGGGACTCCGGGGGCATTGAGAACTTCGTTAACTACAGTAGATATCTGGCAAAGGCCTCCCTGCTAAAGTAAGCTGATGTTAAAGTAGCTGTGATCCCATAAGTTTAAACAGAGAGAAAGAGTGATGAAGACCCTGTGCCCCCAGGGAGAAAATACCTCTGTTCCTATAAATTATTCTTTCAAAGGTAGACAAAGAGAACCTTTGCTCTTAAACAGCTCATCCTTAAAATAGTACCCCACAAATTGGCATGACCCATAAACACACCTCTGGGAAAAGCTGTGAAAAATGGGAAGGACTTCACAATTGCAGATTATCCTCGCAGCTACTATTCATAGAAATTCGAAGCCACAAGAGAACTGTTTTCTTATGGAACAGTCTTCATAAATTAACAAGAGAGATGTCTCTCCCTAAGTAAATGGAAGAAAGACTATTCTAAAAGTAATAAACTGACTGAATTGTTTCTGTACATTGTTAGAGAGAAAGAAAAGGTTATGGGGGGAGAAGTGTTCTAAAAGTTTTATTTGAATTGTTATTCTTTCTTGTAGTCACTATTAATAAACTTTTCTTTATATCCTTTTCAAGTTTTAAGTTTGCTTTGCCTTCCTCCTGTTATGTGCAGTAGATATAATTCGTGTCATTTATAGTATGATATATGTGATATTGAATATTTGTTGGAGTATACACGTTTGTATTAGGAGTCCTCCCCTTACCCTTGCAGGTGAAATCTGGTGTATGTTGAAACCCGATTTACAAGTAAAAGGATGTGGCTCTCTCGAAATGGCTGTAGATACTGGACTGGATGCCCAGGCCTGATCATCTCGTGAACGACCAGAGATGGATATCATGGAAATCCTCAGGACAGATACATGCAAATGCAGGGTTCCCAAAAATTTCATCAAGGGATTCAACAACTCTGGACATCGAATGATTAAAAAAAGAAATCCCATCAAACTATGGGACTCTGAATAGAAGAAAGGACTGATTGCTGAAATCCTGGCCTCAGGCAGAATTTTCCCTTCTGGTACCATTTGTACCAGAATGGTGGTGTGGGCATGGAGGAAAACCTCTGCTGAGGCTGACTTCTTTGTCGCACACCCAGTGCCGACCCCGGACTCGGCTCTGTTCTTTCCTTGTGGCTGGCTAGATAGAATTCAAATTGCAAAATAAATATTTTATTTTTTTCATTTTAATTTGGCTGGACAAATTTTCTTTTATAACACTCCTAATCTTATGTCACAGCAGGAAATGAGTAAGTATATTCTAATAGGTGCCCTGGCATTTAGCCAGCACTGAAACCCACCACACCAACCGTGCACAGATCGGCACCACTCAGACCAACAGCAACACCAACAGCAACACACACACAGAGCAACACACACAAACAACAACTACACATACACACAGAACACACCATTGCACTGACTGACACAGAAACAACACATACCAACGCCAGCAACACACACACCCCAGCACCACACAGCAACACATACATACCAACAGCACACATCAACACACACACACACACACATCCTCCACACACAACCCTGCACACCCTGACCCTCACTGACCCTGAGCTCACCATCTCCTCAGGGCAAAGTAGGTGAATGACATCCTGAGCTGCACTGGGGGTTTTGTCAGCAGGCCACAGGAGGTCATGGAGGCTCCTATGAGGCCACCCCTGGAGTGCTATGTCCAGTGCAGAGCAGTGACATTGACTCTCCTCAGTCCTTTCCCAGTTGCCACCATTGATCACAAATTATTGCAAATGCCCCTCCACGATGTCAGGGAGCCACTTCCCACAGTTCCTTTGGCTCCTGACTGAGTCCCATGGGGACCTAGGGATCTTGTACTCTCTGACCAGTATCCTCCTCAGCCTCGCTCCTTAATTCACCAGGGTCCTCCTCCTCTTCAAGCTCCAGCCTTCCCCAGACACTGTAGCAGGCACAGGATGAGGATGGAGCTGTCACCCAGACTCCTGTGTGTGTGGGCACCCCGAATGCAGGTGTTCAGACCTGCTCATACAAAGTGCTTCACTGGAGTACGTGGGCACTGCCACACACAGGTACAGCAGCACCTATACACAATGCCACATACACACAGCACACACAGACACACACGCCCCCAGCTACACACACACATCTGCATACACAGTACTGCACACACAGACCAGAACACACACAGAGATGCACATGCAGCACACACAGCCGGATACAACCACACACACACACACACACACACACACACACACACACACACACACACGAGAGTGTGTGTGCTCACCAACAATGCAACAATGCAAACACTCTGCAGCAGACCATAGACATATCTGGCACAAGCTGACACAACAGCTGCAATGTTGAACAGTCATATACACAGTGATGCATCAGGGCAGCCATTCATTTGCATGGGCAGATGTGCACAAGCAAGGACAGATATGCAAGGTTCCTTGCAAGGACAGGTGTGCAGGGGCAGGTGTGCAGGGTCGGGTGCACACATGCAAGGACAGGTGTGTACACACAAGGACAGGTGTGCATACACGAGGACAGGTGTGCACCCACAAGGACAGGTGCGCACTCGCGAGGACAGGTGCGCACATGTGAGGACAGGTGCGCACACGTGAGGACAGGTGTGCAGACGTGAGGACAGGTGCGCACACGCGAGGACAGGGGTGCACACACGAGGACAGGTGCGCACACACGAGGACAGGTGTACACACACGAGGACGGGTGTGCACACACGAGGACAGGTGTACACCCAAGGACAGGTGTGCACACACGAGGACAGGTGTGCACACGCGAGGACAGGTGTGTACACACGAGGACAGGTGCGCACACACAAGGACAGGTGCGCACACACGAGGACAGGTGCGCGCACACGAGGACAGGTGTGCACACACAAGGACAGGTGCGCACACACGAGGACAGGTGTACACCCAAGGACAGGTGTGCACACACAAGGACAGGTGTGCACACGCGAGGACAGGTCGGTACACATGAGGACAGGTGCGCACACACAAGGACAGGTGTACACACGAGGACAGGTGCGCACACGCGATGACAGGTGCGCACACACAAGGACAGGTGCGCACACACGAGGACAGGTGCGCACACACGAGGACAGGTGCGCACACACGAGGACAGGTGTACACCCAAGGACAGGTGTGCACACACAAGGACAGGTGTGCACACGCGAGGACAGGTCGGTACACACGAGGACAGGTGCGCACACACAAGGACAGGTGTACACACGAGGACAGGTGCGCACACGCGATGACAGGTGCGCACACACAAGGACAGGTGCGCACTCGCGAGGACAGGTGCGCACACGTGAGGACAGGTGCGCACACGTGAGGACAGGTGTGCAGACGTGAGGACAGGTGCGCACACGTGAGGACAGGGGTGCACACACGAGGACAGGTGCGCACACACGAGGACAGGTGTGCACACACGAGGACGGGTGTGCACACACGAGGACAGGTGTACACCCAAGGACAGGTGCGCACACACAAGGACAGGTGCGCACACACGAGGACAGGTGCGCGCACACGAGGACAGGTGCGCACACACAAGGACAGGTGCGCACACACGAGGACAGGTGTACACCCAAGGACAGGTGTGCACACACAAGGACAGGTGTGCACACGCGAGGACAGGTCGGTACACACGAGGACAGGTGCGCACACACAAGGACAGGTGTACACACGAGGACAGGTGCGCACACGCGATGACAGGTGCGCACACACGAGGACAGGTGCGCACACACGAGGACAGGTGCGCACACACGAGGACAGGTGCGCACCCAAGGACAGGTGTGCACACACAAGGACAGGTGTGCACACGCGAGGACAGGTCGGTACACACGAGGACAGGTGCGCACACACAAGGACAGGTGTACACACGAGGACAGGTGCGCACACGCGATGACAGGTGCGCACACACAAGGACAGGTGCGCACTCGCGAGGACAGGTGCGCACACGTGAGGACAGGTGCGCACACGTGAGGACAGGTGTGCAGACGTGAGGACAGGTGCGCACACGCGAGGACAGGGGTGCACACACGAGGACAGGTGCGCACACACAAGGACAGGTGTGCACACACGAGGACGGGTGTGCACACACGAGGACAGGTGTACACCCAAGGACAGGTGTGCACACACGAGGACAGGTGTGCACACGCGAGGACAGGTGTGTACACACGAGGACAGGTGCGCACACACAAGGACAAGTGCGCACACACGAGGACAGGTGCGCGCACACGAGGACAGGTGCGCTCACACAAGGACAGGTGCGCACACACGAGGACAGGTGTACACCCAAGGACAGGTGTGCACACACAAGGACAGGTGTGCACACGCGAGGACAGGTCGGTACACACAAGGACTGGTGTGCACACGCGAGGACAGGTCGGTACACACGAGGACAGGTGTGCACACACGAGGACAGGTGCGCACACACAAGGACAGGTGTGCCCACACGAGGACAGGTGTGCACACACGAGGACAGGTGCGCACACACGAGGACAGGTGTGCACACACGAGGACAGGCTCCGGAGCGATCGCTCCCACGAGGCACGGGCCGTCACGTCGGCGGGGCGGGGCGCAGGTGAGCGGGAGGCGGGGCCGCTCCTGCGCTTTTCAGGCGCCGCGCAGGTGGTGGGTGTGACGTCACCGCCTGGCACGTCACGGGGCGGGGCCGCAAGGTGCGCGGGGCCGCGCCGGGCCGGGCCGGGCCGTTCCGGTCTCCTGGCGCCCATGGACCCGGCCCGGCGCCGCAGCGCCGACCGGGGCTCGGCCTCCGGCGCGGGGTCTCGCCCCGGCCCCCCGCGCGGCCCCGGCAGCGCGACTCGGCTGCCGCCCGACGCTGGCGTTTCGGCGGCGCCTTTCCCCGGCAGCGCTGTCCCGGGCGGCCGTAGGAGCTCCCGAGCGGACGGGCACGGCTTCGGGCACGTCTGCCCGCGGCGCGAAGGAACCGAGGAGCGGCCCCGGGCCCAGACCCCGCCCGAGGGTCTCCCGCTGCCGCCCTTGCTGTCCCCCGGCCCGGGCGGCCCCCCGTCCACGGCAGCGCCCGGCCGGGTCACCTTCCCCGCGCCGGCCCCGCCGGAGTGGCGGGAGATGCTGCCCAAAGCGGAGTCCAGCGACCACATCGCGGCCTGGGCGGGCCCCTCCGTGCCCCGCGCCCCCACACTGCCCAAGGCTGTGTCCAGCGAGTCCCTCGCCGGCGGCTGGGCGGGCCTGACCCCCCGAGCAGAGCCGGGCGAGCTGCCCGTCCTCGCCCGGCCCCTCGGTCGTCTCGGCCCCAGCGACGTCTGCGATCTGCTGCCGGACTGCCCGGGACGAGCCCCGGAGGACGGCGCGTTCCGGTGAGTGGGGCCGCGGGGCGCTCGCGGGGACGGGGCTCGCAGTGCCGCGGGAGCAGCACCCGCTGTGTCCCTTTTCGCTGTGGCGGATTCAGCAGGATTGGAGTGCGGGGCTGCAGGCAAGCTCCTGGCAGCGAGGGTGTCTGGTGCCCCCTGTTCGTGCAGGATATCGTGATACAGACACGGACTGTGGAGGGAGCGCTACCTGCCCCTGCCCCGGCTGTCCCTGAGCACTAGGGCTAGCGTGGCGCTGCTCTTCTTCCCTATTGAATCGTTTCCCTGTGACTGAGGTTCCTGTCACCATCAAAAGAGCCTGCGGGCCCTTTGCTGTTGCCCGTTGCGCAATGGTATTAATGTGTTCTAACGGATGTGGCTTTGCGCTGGTGAAGGACACCGCTGCGGGGTTGCAGCACCGCTGTCACATGCACTGCCCTGGCCTTTGTGGCTGGCAAGGGCTGGGAACTGAGATCCGGGTCCTTTTCGCCAGGATCCTGAGCCTTCCTGGGGAAGGGGGTAAAGCGATTTTCCAGAGACACCCTCTCTCACAGCCTGCCTGTGTCAGCTGGTGGTGATGGAAACGAGGGCTCTTTGTATTGTTTTCTAGAATTTCAAGTGCAAATCCTGGGGGATCTTGGAGGCAAGGACCTGTCTCTCTCATACGGGAGTTAAGAACCTGGTGTATATGCCATGACTAAGCTTCAGCCTTGGCTACTTCTGTTGCTAGCAAAAAGCTTCCTTGGTGGATCTGGGGGCTGAACAGGGTTACAAAGAACCCCTCTGAGCCTTCCTGTTAGCCTGTTCTTCCTTTGTCCTCCCAAGCATCACAGTGGTCACCTGGAACGTAGGTACAGCCATGCCCCCAAATGATGTGACGTCCCTGCTGCACCTCAACACGGGCGAGACAAACGATGTGGATATGATCGCCATTGGGTAAGAAGATGAGGTGCAGCTCCCTCTATTCCTTCCCCTCTCCACTCTGGCAAATCGCCTTTTTGGGGAATCCCCAAAGCCCTGGGGGACAAGGAATGGAAGGCAGCCTCAGCCTCCCTTGGAGCATGGGGAGCAGGGAGGGGTGTGCATCACAAATGATAGCATGTCAGAAAAGGTGATAGAGAATCAGCTCCTGGTAAAATGAGAGTGCTGAGAGGAACTGAAACCCTTGAGTACTGATTAGACATGAATACTCATCAAGCCTGAGGTTGGCTATACTGGGCCAAGTTAGCCCTGCTCTTGCTGTGAGCTGTGGCAGTCGTTGGGTCAGGTCTGTCAAGGTATTTGACTCACCTGGCCAAGTCCTCTGGGAGCATTCTCCTCCTCTGTGCTTTTGCATGTGGTATGCAAGCATCAAGGGCATAGATCTGCTGTTCTCCTGAGGCTGGATTGGCTCCATGCCCCTGGTACACAGACCTGCTGACAAGGAAGTACCACAGCACTGTGGTGAGGCTGCTGAGGTGAGGGTGGCCGTCCCTCGAGAGACACACCAGTGGTGTGTGAATTCCTGCTAAGGCCAAGGATGTGCTGTCTTTGCACAGGGAGCAGGAAGCAGACTCCGTCTATACGTATGAGGTGGAAAAGCTGGATCTGCCTCCAGGACTGCCCCCAAGCTTCCAGTTGTGGGGGCTTAGTGGTGTAAGGGCTGACACACTGCTGGAACTATGTTGGAGCCAGCCTCTCAGTCCCCTCAGCCTTGCAGGCCAGTGAAATGGGTCTGTGTGGGTAGCAGAGGTCAACCTGAGCTGGATGGATGGGGTGAGGGGTGTAGCTGATAGTAAGGGACCTGCTGGGACCATGTTCTGGCCAGGGCAGGTTGTCCTGCTACTCCTTACTTCCTGGCGTCTCTGCCTGGCTGTGTCCTTCCTCTGACCTGTGTCTTTGTGCTCTAAGCACTCAGTATTTTTGGGCGAGACATTTCGTGATTGTGCTGTTCTCTGTGGACGTTTTTCCTTCTCTTCATTAATTTCCAAGCTGGGAGGAGCACTATTAGCTTTCTGGCTGCTGCTGCTCTGAGCTACGCAGCTCGAATACATCTGAACACCTTGTGCTGTTGGGACACGACTTCTCTGTAGAGACTGAAAGGCCCTACAAGCCCCTCTTGCACACAGAGATGGGCTTTAGGCTTCTGCTCAACCCTGTGCAGCTTAACTGCTTCTGCTTTAGAAAGGGCCAAGGCTTCCTGGATTCAGGGCCACTTGTGCCTCCGGCCACCACATGGCCCAGAATCATTGGAGCAAGGGCATGGCTGGTTTGTGCTCTAAAATCAGTGTCTTCCCTTGAGCTGCCCTTCCCACCCTGTCCTGCTGCCCAGCATTGTGCTTTGGCACCTCTCCCAAGTTCTCACTAACTGGGACACAGATGGTTTCCTGGTGTAGCTGAAGGACCTTACATTTCCTCTCAGGCTGCAGGAGGTAAACTCCAAGATAAACAAGCGCTTGAAGGATGCCCTCTTCACAGATCAGTGGAGTGAACTCTTCATGGATGTGCTGAGCCCCTTCCACTTCATCCTGGTAAGGAGTCCTAAAGGAGTTGACTGTTGGTGTTCTCTCTGCCCGCCAGGCACATGGGACACAGGAATAGAAAGCTGGGAGGGAGGTACAGTGGGAGAGCTGGCTGGAGGGACAGCCTGCAGCCATCCAGGCAGCGGGGACTGCTGCTGCATCTCACCCAGCAAGTTGTTTGGCTTGTGCCACCCAGCTGCCTTTCCTGCACTTATGCTTCCCCTCTGGTGCTTTGGGGTGACTTTATGTCGCCCACTGTATTGAACCAGGGTGAGGAGGTGAATGTGGGAACTGGCCAGTGCTGCTGGTAACAGCCTACAAGACTCAGGGCAGGCTCAGCTTCCCCAGACAGCTTCAGCTCCCCAAGCCATTTGCCTCAGAGCATATGTAAGTCCAGCATCACTGAGCCTCAGGTTTGGCCATCAGTGCTCATGAGGGTATGCACAGATCTCTGAATCAAATAAGCTGTTAGTCACCTGTAGGATGGAGTGGCACATGAAGGGTGGGGGTGCTGCCCCATGGCCTGGAGTAGGGGGAGTTGTCCCCTCGTCCCCAGGCTCTCTACCATCCTACTCCAGCCATTGCTCAAATTCCAGGTCAGCACAGTGCGGATGCAAGGTGTGATCCTGCTGGTGTTTGCCAAGTACTACCACCTGCCCTTTCTGCAAGACATCCAGACAGACTGCACCAGGACAGGGCTGGGGGGATACTGGGTGAGTGTGGCCCTGGGGGGAGATTGTAAGGGGCTGGCTTCCCAAGGAGTCATGGGATCCTCTTGGTGCAGGGCAACAAGGGTGGGGTGAGTGTTCGTCTCTGCATCTTCGGCCACATGGTCTGCTTCCTGAACTGCCACTTGCCAGCACACCTGGAGAAAGCGGAGCAGCGCAAGGAGGACTTTGCCACCATACTGCACATGCAGCAGTTTGAGGGGCCCGTGGCCAACGGCATTCTGGACCATGAGTGCGTACCCCACCACTTTGCTCCCTAGTCTGGGCTCTAGTGCCAGTCCTAGTCTTTGACTACCTCCATGCAGGGTCTGGGGTCTCCCCTGCATCCCAGCACAGCTTGGAGATTAGGTCTTGCCTGCAGAGCTGGCCCAGCATGGACTCAGCATAGTGGGGTAGGTGTTTATAGAGCGGTCTTGGTCTCACCACATTCAGGGCTGGTACAATTCCTGCCTTACTAGCACTGTTGGGGTTTGGGACCAGTCAGACAGAGGGGCCAGCTCTGCCCCTGTGTCCTGGCTTTGTGATCTGAATCCAATGGTGCCTCTCTGTGGAAATTTCCCCCCTTGGTTTCAGCTTGGGGAAGTCTGGCCCATTTGGCTAATGGTGCTTGGTCCTGCCTACAGAATCCTGACAGCTGGCCAGGCTGTTGGCTGAGCAGTGACCTGAGCCAGTGTTCCCATGAGCACCTGTGCTGTGGGCTACAGGCTGCCCCGAGGCTGGGGACATCTTACCCCTGCTGTCCCTGGCTCTGGTAGCCTCAGCTCTTTTTTTGTTTTCACTGTTGCCCTTGCTGCCATCCACAGCCTTGTGTTCTGGTTTGGGGACCTTAATTTCCGCATCGAGAGCCTGGACATCTGTTTTGTGAAGTACGCCATTGACAGCAATGTCCTGAGCCAGCTCTGGGAGAAGGATCAGGTGAGGGATGGGTGTGCTGCCAGCCTACACTGGGACCCCTAGCAGTGGCTGGCTTTCCCCAAAACTGCCCATGCAGCTGTGGGACAGGGCATGTCCTCTTGCAACCCATAGGACACAAAGGGCCCTGGCTCTCATGTCTCTGGGGGAGGAAGGGACAGCAGAATCCCAGGTCAGTCTGGATGCAGATGGGCACACTTCCCTCATGAGTGTGTGAAGAGCTGAGGCATTGAATTTAGACTAGCTGCTGGCATAGATGGATTAACCCCAAGAGCTGTGGGAGCTGGCAGGAATGGGACTGGGATATCACAGTGTGTGAGGGTGGGGAGATCTTGGCAGGATCTGCAGAGGGGTCTGGCTGTATAGGGGTTGCTGTGCTCCTTGATGTGCTCTCTTCCCCACAGCTGAACATTGCCAAAAGCACGTGGCCTGTTCTCAGAGGCTTCCAGGAGGGACCCCTGAACTTCCCACCCACTTTCAAGTTTGATGTGGGCACCAACAAGTATGATAGCAGGTAGGAGAGCACAACTGGACATGAGGTGGGACTGAGAGATGCAGGAGCTGTGGAGCTCAGAGCCAGTGCAGGTGCTGGTGTGGATGGATGGGGAGAGCAGCCATGCTGGGGTGGGCACTGACTGGACTGTGATGTGATGGCAGTGCTGGTGCCAGCACAGGTCTGTCCCTGCAGCTGTGCTGAGTGCCAAGATGAGCTGCATCCTCTGCCCACATGTGCTGTAGTGCCAGGGAGAGGCAGTTTGGGTCAGAGCCCACTGCCCTTGCCAGGCAAGAGATGCCCCTCTGTGCCCTGCCAGTGCCAAGAAGCGAAAACCTGCCTGGACTGACCGCATCCTGTGGAAGATAAAACCTCCCAGCAAGGGATTAGGCACAGGTGGGCACCGGCCCAGCCAGGGTGTGCTGTCAGTGAGCCAGCTATGCTACTGCAGTCACATGGAGTACACCGTCAGTGACCACAAGCCAGTAGCTGCCATCTTTGCCGTGCAGGTGAGCACTGTCCAGGGCTACTGGGAACACAGGCAGGAGCTGCAGGGGTGGGATGTCCAGTCTTGTGTGTGGGGGGCTTACTTCGGTTCAGCAAGCTCAGCTGCCTTGGCTCTTACTGGGGGCTGCTGTGGATATATGCATGGGGTCTCTGGGCAGCAGAGCCAGCTCTTTGTCATGCCCTTTCTCAGCACATACCTGTCTCTGACAGTTTGCTTCCAAGGTGGACAAGCCCCTGGTTGAGATTTATGTGGCTGACGAGTGGAGCAGGCCTGAACAAGCAGTTGTCAGGTACAAGATGGCTGTTGGCTTCCACCGGAGCTCCTGGGACTGGATAGGACTCTACCGGGTAGGGGCTTGGGGGCTGCTGGGGCTGGAGGGAGTGGGGAGCACTGCACAGCACTGCGGGGTCCCTTCTGAACTACCCACCACCAGTGAACATGGTGAGGGCATGGAGCTGTGCCCTCCCATTCCCTGGCATCATGATGTGGTCCTGCTTCTGGAGGCTCTGGTCCAGCAGTTCCTTCTTCCCCCTGCTCTGTGGGCCCCAGGGTGTACCTGCAGGGGGGTGCAAGGCAGCTTTGGGTCACCCTGTGTGAACAGAATGGGCTGAGCAACAGGAGACTGAAGAGTAACTGTGCCAAGTGTGGCTCGCATTGTCCCACTCACTTGTATTGTCCTATGTATTGTGCACAGGTGGGCTTTCGGCACCCCAAAGACTATGTGTCCTATGTCTGGGCCAGGAGTGATGATGGGGAGCGCTGCCTGGAGAAGCAGCTGTGTGCACAGGTGAGCTGGGGCCAGTCCTGCTGTCTTGCTGGCACTTCTGCCCCACAGTGGGGGGACAATGGCCCCTTTGTGCCCCTGAATGGGGGAGGCAGGCACCTTGTTATTGCCTTTTGCTAGGTATGGGGCAGGCTCATGGTATTGGCAGCAGAGATTTGTGCTTTTAGCTGGGGTTGGAGGTGAGGTGGCAGGGGGGTACCCCTGTGCCAACCCCAGTGCCCATCAGGTGTCTCTGGGCTGCAGGTGATATTCTCTGAGGAATCACTACCCAAGGGGAATGGCGAGTACATCCTTGGATACTACAGCAACACCTCCAGTAGCATCGCTGGTGTGACTGAGCCCTTCCAGGTGAGCACAGCCAAGAGGTGAGGGTGAAGGGGGATGGATATGGGGGGAGGGGGGTGTTTCTCTTGGGGAGGCCAGCTGGTGTTGTACTCAACAGTCCCTGTGAGGGTCAGCTAGCAGTGCTGATGCACGGGTGCAGATTTCCCTACCCAGGTCAGAGGAGGGCAGCAGCTCTACAGACAGCTCAGGCAGCAGCTCAGAAGAGGATGACAGTACACTTGTCCTCCTGGCTCCCAAATCCCGTAGTCCCAGTCCAGGCAAGATGAAACGCCACCGGAGCCGAAGCCCCAGCCTGGCCAAGTTCCAGGGCCTTATCCTGCGGCCATCAAGCTGGGACAGGGGTACAAGTCGCAGTCCCTCACCCCAGAGCCGTTGCAGCCTCCCCAGGAATATCCCCACCATCCATCTGCCGCAGGAGGAGCCGGGGCACCATGAAGTGAAAAGCAAGGAGCTTGGACAGGCAGCTGAGAGCCCAGACAGCAACTCATTCTATCAGACTGTGCAGGAACAAAGTGGCCTCCAGCGTGTCTCTGCTGACAGCTCCCTGGCCAGGGCTGATCCCCGGAACCTGGGCCTGCTGCCTGCACTGCGCCTGGAGATGATTGACCAGGCCCTGGGCCGGCGGCAGGAGAGTGCAGACCAGGGCTATTATTCCTGCTGGAGAATGAGCCCCACCAGCCCCCCAGGCTGTGGCTCCTCCCCAAAGGAGAGGCACAGCCCCCAAGAACTGGATAGACAGAGCTGTCCCATGGGCCGCTGATGCAGTGGCTCCCCTCCTCCTCCCTGTAGTGCGCTTGCTGTGTGCTTTCCTCTGCCACTTCCGTGCTGACACACTCCCTCCTTTATTTATTCCAGTGACTCCTCAACCCTGTTGTGTGCCTGGCAGGTAGAGGCCCTCCCCCTTGCTGCTCCCAGCCCAAGCTCCTGCCCTGGGCTGTGAGGTGACCACACAGGGGAGGGTAGGCAGAGATGGTCTAATGCAGTTTGGGGAACCCCTTATGAACTTCCAAGTGCAAGGACTCTTCTCCCACCGGAGGAGTGCTGTCCTCACACCTGCGGTGGCACAAAAGGCCAGGGCAGGGCTCTAGCAGGAATGGTGATAGGCACAGAGCAAGGACCACCACAGGGTACCCTGGACAACAAAGCTTGCTCCTTCCCTGCTCTACCATTGTGCCTCAGCCTGAACATAGTGCAAATGACAAAATAAATGGTCCTGCCCACCCCAGCTGCACTGTGCTTACTGCTGGGGGCAGGATCAGCCCTGGGGTGTGGGCCAGAGTGTCAAGAGGGGACAGCAGGCTCAACTCTTGCACCATAAATCATGCTCTGACCACCCACCTTTTATTTTTTCTGCTGCATGCAGGTACTGACCCCAGTCCTCCTACCCTGCCTGGGCAAGAGGGTCAGGATTACGCCTCACTGCTCAGGCCCCTCAGTTGAAGGGTCACCAATATAGGGGTGGGGTACCCTGCCACCCCCACTGCCGCAGAGCACACCAGTGAAGGACAATGGGTTTCCTCTTTCCTGAGCCCTCCTATTTCTTTCCCCTTGCTTTTGGTAGTCATGGATGGCAGTTCCTTGAGAGGCTTCTCAGTCTCTCTGCCTCCTCTGGCTGTGGTCCCCAGCTTCATGCTGTCACACCAACAGCCATGCTTAGTACCATCCTTTGACTTGAGGACCAGACCCCAAGCAGCTCCCAGCTGCATCTGCTGTACAGCACATCTTCCTCCCCTTCCTCCCCAAGGCAGCACTGCTTGGCTGTCATTGAAGCACTGTGTGTGGCCAAGCTGGTGTCTGCTCTACAATGAGATGCTGGCATTGCTCACAGAGGGTTCCTCTTCCTCTGGCATGTGCCTTCCAATGTACATCCTTGGCCTTAGAGCTCACATGTAGAGGCCCCCAGTGTCTTAGAATCTTTTTGAGCCGCCGTGCAGGTACAAGCACAGCCCTGGTCATCATGGTACAGCTGCTGGAAAAGCAAAGCTGTGAGCACCACTGTAACCCTGCAGCACCAACATCCTCTGCCCCTGCCCTGCAGCCTGGTTGTGGCATGGCAGAGCAGGGACCAACGCTTGCATTACCAGTTTCCTGCTCCATCTAGCCCCTGGCCCCTTGACCTCCCCACTTACCTGTTCTGTGACCCCCTGCCTGGGCTGCAGGCAGCAGGCAGCTCTAGCACAAAGCAGTTCATGGTGATGCGGTCAGCCAGCACAGCCACGTCCATGTCACTGCAGTGCCTTGCCCTGTGGAGGCACCGTGCCAGCCTGCAGGCACAGGGGAGCATGTGTCACCAGGTGCTAGCCAGGGCAGGCATCCCACCTCCTCTGAGCCCCAGCTGTATGCACACAGTGCCTTTTTCCTCTTGGACTCACACCTGTGTGTGCAGTTGCAGTGGAGGAGCATCCGGCTGTCCACGTTGTGCAGCTGGTACTTCACTTCATGGGGTGCAATCCGGTGGTCACACTTAGCCAGGTGCTTGTTGCACCTGCAGCCCCGGCCCGGGTCTGAGGAGAGTGGGGAGGTAATGGGCACCCCCAGCACGACTCCACCGGCCTGAGGCCTTGGGCCACCCCAGCTGCAGTATGCACATGCTGCCCACAGTACCAGCTCACCCTGCTGCCTGCGCCCCTTCACAGCTGGCACGGGGGTGGCTCCACACTGCACTGTGACTGGGCTGGGTCCAAGGCTGCCATACCAAGGATGTGCTGAGATTCCAGCTCCTTGCTCTGCTCCAACTGAATCCTGTCCTGACACTGTCAATGCTGTTGCACGGCCAGGCTCTAGCCCCCACTGCACTGCTGGGTGCCTGGTTGTGAGCTCAGCCTTGTCCCTGGCAAATGCAGGGGTACCTGGGCCCTGTGGCTGTTGGGCTGTCTTAGGTCTCCGTGACTGGTGGCGCCCAGGCTTTGTCTTCAGTTCCTGTCGAAACCGCTTACGCCCTGTTCTAGAGAAATTCCTTCCCTTGCCCGAGGGCTGCACAGTGGGTCTGCCCCTCTCCTCTGCTGGTAGGCTGGGGTGGTAGTGATTCTGCTGCACCATCCTGGCCAGAGGCACTACTCCGTAACGCTCACACCTGAGGACACCGCGTGCTTGTGGGGTCCTGCACGCCATGCTAAGCCAGTGCCCGAGGGGGCAGCCGTGCAGGCACGCCGAGGGCCGGGCACCCCGGGAACTCACCCGCCCCACCAGTGCCACTGGATGCACTCCTCACTCTCGTCCAGCACAAAGCACGGCACCTCCAACAGGTTGAAGAATGTGACGCCGATGATGTTGGAGACGGTGTCGTTGATGGCGAGTAGGCACCGCCGGAACCTGCGGGCAGGGAACCGGTGAGGAGGGTGAGCTCCCCGGGCCTCCCGTTTCCTCACGCCCCGGGCTCACCTGGCGTCGCAATCGCAGTGGGACACGGTGTGCAGGCGGTAGTTGCGGATGCCGTAGTTGAACTGCAGCGCCGTGATCTGCGCCCAGCACTGGTCGTGCTCCCGGCAGCACCGGTCGGGGCCGCGGAAGAGCCCTGCGGAGGCGGCGGTGAGCGCGGCCCCGCGGGGGGAGCCGGGGCGCTCCCGCCGCCCCGCGCCGCTCCCTACCCAGCTCGCTCCAGTTCCCCGCCGAGTTCCCCGCGCCGCACCACAGCGTTCCCGGCAGCGTCCAGCCCCGCCGGCGGCGGCGGCGTTGCGGTGCCGGCGGCGCGGGGTCGGTGCAGGCGGCACGACGCCGCCACAGCACGGACAGGGCCCGGCGCAGCGCGGCCCCGGGCGCGGCAGGCGGCTGTTGCGCGCAGGCGGCGCGGAAGGCGCGAGCGAGGCGCGGATCGCGGCGGGTCCAGCAGGCGCGGAGGCGGCCCGGGGCAGCCCAGACGCTCTCGACCAGCGCGGGTCCGGGTCCGGGTCCGGGTCCGGGTCCGGGTCCGGGTCCGGCGGTCAGGAGCGCCACGTACCGCGCGCCGCCCACCGCCTCCCGCGCGCACACAGCGCCACCGGGCCAAGCGCGCGCGCATGCGCACAGGACCGCGCAGGCCACCGCAGCGCGCGCCCACATCGCGCGCACTGCCCAACCCCCCCACACCGCTCCCCCCCTTTAACTGCGCGCCCCACCGCGAGCGCAGCGCTGATTGGTCCGCGCCGCGCAGGTCCCGCCCCGCCCCGCCCCGCTCCGCAACAGAGCGGTGGGACCCAGCCGGGGACCCCCATCCCGGCACCCCCATCCCGGCACCCCCATCCCGGCACCCCCATCCATCACCCCCATCTTGGGTACCCCCATCCCGGGTACCCGCATCCCGGGTACCCGCATCCCGGCACCCGCATCCCGGCACCCCCATCCCGGCACCCGCATCCCGGCACCCCCATCCATCACCCCCATCTTGGGTACCCGCATCCCGGCACCCCCATCCCGGCACCCCCATCCCGGCACCCCCATCCCGGGTACCCGCATCCCGGCACCCCCATCCATCACCCCCATCTTGGGTACCCGCATCCCGGAACCCCCATCCCGGCACCCCCATCCCGGCACCCCAGCCCCGGCTCCTCCTCATCCCGGCACCCCCATCCCGGCACCCCAGCCCTGGCTCCTCCTCATCCCGGCACCCCCATCCCGGCACCCCCATCCCGGCACCCCCATCCATCACCCCCATCTTGGGTACCCGCATCCCGGCACCCCCATCCCGGCACCCCTGTCCCGGGTACCCGCATTCTGGCACCCCTGTCCCGGGCACCCCCATCCCGGGCACCCCCATCCCGGCACCCCCATCCCGGCACCCCCATCCCGGCACCCCCATTCCGGCACCCCCTGCTACACACACCCCACCCCACGCTCTCTCTCCCTGGGCACTCATGAGTGTGCTCTCACCTGCAGGACTCTGAATGCAGGCGTGTGTGCAGCTGTGCATAGGCACCTGCACACTCACCTTGAGCACACGTGTACACACGTGTGTGAGTGTATAGCCATGTGCCATGCGTGCCCAACCATGTGTGTGCCCCACACAGGCTGTAGCCATGTCCCTGCTCAAGTGTTCACTGTGTGCAGTCAGGGCACAGAGCTTTGTCCTGTCCAGCCTCCGCAGAAGATGCCCATGGCCCAGGATCACACCTGTTTGAGAGCTGAGGATTGCTGAGGATGGAGCCACCACAGCCCCCCAGGGCAACTCCTGCTGTGACCTGTACTAAGGCCTGACCCTCACAGTACAAAGGTGTTGATATTCAAAGGAACCTCCCATGCCCCAGTTTGTGCTTATTGCATTTTGTTCCAGTACTGGACATCACTGGGAAGAGATGAACTCTTGTCTCTTTGCACCCTCCTTGCCTGTGTATTAGCAGAATTCTGCAAAATTCCTCTGCTCCAGCCTCAGCAGACCCTGCTCCTGCAGCCACCCCACACAGTACAGGTAGTCCAGTCACTCCACCACCATCACGGCACTTTGCTGAACTCACCCCAGCATATCTGTGATTATCCCAGGGAATCCCAGCTGGAGCTGCATGGCCTCCCCCTTGGTGCTCCTTGCCCAGCTTTGCCTGGTGCCATGAGGACACATCCCTGGCTTCTGCTTAGCTGGTGCCCAGCAGGATCCCAAGGTCCATCCCTGCAGAGCTGTTTTCCAGCTGGGGGCACAACTTATGCTGGTACAATATCCCCCTGGGAATCAGGATCTCTCTACCCTGGAAATACCTTGGGAGGGTAGCTGGGCTGTGGGGCAGAGCTTCACCTGTCCTAGAGCCCCACTGGCCCAGGGAAGCGTTGTTTAGGGTGGCCTGTGTGTCTGGGAATCCTGCTGCATCCCAAAAGGATGCTGGCCCTGCTCTGGAGAATTGGCCCACTGAAGTCCAGATGCACCTCTCTACCTGAAGGGGGGAGGGAGGGAGTGGGAGGAAGGAAGGAAGGAAGGAAGGAAGGAAGGAAGGAAGGAAGGAAGGAAGGAAGGAAGGAAGGAAGGAAGGAAGGAAGGAAGGAAGGAAGGAAGGAAGGAAGGAAGGAAGGAAGGAAGGAAGGAAGGAAGGAAGGAAGGAAGGAAGGAAGGAAGGAAGGAAGGAAGGAAGGAAGGAAGGAAGGAAGGAAGGAAGGAAGGAAGGAAGGAAGGTGCTGCCAGAGACCCCCAAATCCCTCCTGGGACACCAAATGTGCTGCACAGAGACCGCCAAATCCTCCTGGATCCCTCCTGGGACCCCAAATGTGCTGCCAGAGACCCTCAAATTTCCCCAAATCCCTCCAGGAAGGAAGGAAGGAAGGAAGGAAGGAAGGAAGGAAGGAAGGAAAGGAGGAAGTGGGGTGGGGGGCAGGGGAGGAAGGGAGGTTGGTTCCTCTGATGTGTTTTTTTCTTCCAGGGCTAGTCTGGAGTCATGTCTGTCCAGGCTGCTGATCTGCCTTGCTGGGGTTTGCGGGGCGTGGGGGAAGGGGAGGAGGTCTGTAGATCCCCATGTGCCTTAACCCTAACTGGGAGACACTGGGGCCTGATGGATGGGGCTTGGCAGTGTAGGCTTATCTCACCTTATCAGGATTTCCCTGACAGCAGCACACTGCAGGCAGGGCAGAGTCCACCCTGTGGCTGTGATAGGTCTGCCATGCGCCACCTATGACATCACCCCATGTGTCACAAAGGTTTCCCCTGTCCTGGGAGCTGTGTTCATGAGGCTGGATGAGGGCTGGCAGGACTGGCATGCCAAGGCTGTGGGAGGGCTCTGCTCAGGGATACCCCAGATGTGGGAGAACCAGCCTTCCACCCATAGGAATCCAGAGAGCCCTCCTGAACACAGTGCTGTGTTCATGTCCCAGTGCCCCTGGGACTACCTAATGCATGCTTTGTGCCCCGTCATGTCCAGCACCCTGGGGCTGCCCTGTGCCTGTGGGGCTCCACAGGGAGGGATCCCTCGGGCAGCACAGGACAGCCTTGGCTGACAAGTGGATGACTGCTTGAGAGACAGAAAACTCAGTTTGGGTTTGTCTGGAAGATAACAGGGGATAAGGAGGGATGCCTAATGCTCTGGCCTTCACCACCCAAGCAGCCAGTGGGTTACAGGGCTGGCCCTGCAGCAGATCTCCCCACTGTGTAATCATGTAGCTGCTGCCAGCTGCTGGCACAAGGCTGGTGTCTGGCTGGACAGTGAGGATGTGGGGCTGAGCCCTGGACTACCCAACCCAACAGGCAGCACTGCCAACCCTGCACCCAGCTCCGCTGACGTGGCTCAAGGCTGTAGACAAGGCCAGTGTGCGGCTGAGCTCCCAAGGACACAGGGCTGACCCTGAGTGGGGGAGCACTGAGCTCTGCTGAAGATGCCAGTACTCATGGTCCATGCAGTGAGGGTGGAGAGTAGTCCCAGCCTGGGTCAGCAGGAGGGCAGAAATGGGCTGATGAAGCAATTCTTTCACCCCTTCTTCTGCACGCCGTGTTCCATTTAGGACTCCCCAGTACAAGAAAGATCCCATACTGGAGTGAGGCTGGTAAAGGTTGCTGAACTGGTTAGGACAGGAGCTAGGCTTACTTGGGCTGAAGAAGAGGAGAAATCAGAGTTTATCTGCCCTGAACTCTGAGTCATGGCAGGACTCATTTCTTCTCCTTTTGCACTCCCCAGGCCAGCATGGGCATTGGGGTGATGCCTCCTATGGAGACATCTTGCAGGCAGCTGCTGGATGACCAGACTGTGTAAGTGGCTGCCAGACCTGGGGCCTCATCCATGTCTCAGTGCTGACACACCTCCAGATGTCCCCATGTCCAGCCTTGCCTTTTGTGCCAGCCAGCAGCACTGGCTCCTCATTGTATGTGTGTCACACATGCCGCTGGCCTGCTCGTGTCACCTGGGGACAGGCACCCTTGGAGGAGACACACAGCTCTGCCTCCTGGAAAAGGAATTGCTGCAGCACTGGAGATTAGCTTCTCTGCTTTTTACTGATCTAAGCTGGAACTTACAACTTTGTGGAAGGAAGCAATAGAGCATCCAGGGCATCCATGGCTCTGAACATGAAAGGCAGAACAGGGAAAAACTTCACGAGAGAAGATGTCTTGTGAAGGTTGGAAGACACAATTCCAGCTGTAACGAGAAAAGGAATGGTGCGGTTATTTCACGCCTGAGTTGATTATCAGTTCAAGTACTTTGCAGACCCAGGGAGACCCTTGAGGGTTCCTTTGGACTCTGGCATGTCCACAAGTCCACAAGGACCCATAAGTCCCTCCACCCCATGCTGGTTGGTGGGCACTCCCCAAGCCGGCAGCCAACACAGCCACCACCTGTCTGCACAGGAGAGCCTGGGTCAAGCTGTGTCCCCATGTGACGTCTTTGTCCCATCTGGATCCCATCCTTTGGCACCAAGACCCCACACCAGTGCCACCCTATCACATTTGCATGACTTGGGACCGTCATCACACAGCAGCCAGAAGTGCCCCAGCCTGCTGCATCAGGCTACTCAGGCTTTCCATCAGCATGATGGAGATGTGGGCACTGGGATGTGGTGGGAGGCCATCTCTTTTGCTGGTTTTGTGACATTTGCCTGCTTCCTGGCTACCCTGTGGTGGGCTTAACTCACCTGCACCCTGCAGTCCTGGCTCTAGGGAGAGCACTGGTTCAGGCTGGGGTGGCACCGGTCCCCATGGGTGCACATGCCACCCTGGCCACAGACAGCCCACGTGCCTGGCCCCAGGCTCTGGGAAGGCTGTGCTGGTTGTCATCATGTAGCATCTGCCCAGAGGTCTTCGAGAAAAGAGCCATCCCTCTAGGATATATTGTCTAATTTTATAGGGGGAAGGGACTCTTGCCAGATTCTCATTGCAGAAACAGAGCTGGCTCCATCAGCTATTTTCAGTGTGAGGCTGAGCTGTAGGGACGATGGAGGTCATCAGGCTCTGCACATCTGCAGGTTCTGCAGCTCACAGGAACCATCTCCTGCTCTGGGTCTTCAGCCACAGCTGCAGCCTCCTCAAGGTCTTTTCCAAGAGTCATAGAGCACCCTGAAGGCCCTGGTTCCAGCAGTAAATAACCACCCTTGCCTACAGGAAAATACAGAAAGCCCCAAGACTTAAGGTACACAAAGAAAACCACCCCCAATCCACTACAAGGTACAGAGGTTCCTTGTAAGAGGATGGTACTTTCCTCCTACTGATAGTAGGAGGAAATTCTTACAATTTTCTGTTTCCCCTTAATCCCTAGGCATTTCCCCATGCCATTGTGATCTTGGGACCACCTGGTTTTACTGCCCTGGTGAACACATCCCCATAAATTATGGAAACTACCCAGAAGGAAGCAACTCTGCAAGGAGTAGTACCTGACTGATGCATATCACTGCACTCCAGGTGAAGGTCAGGTAAGTGATGAACCAGCAGGAGCTGGGTATACCAAGAGCAGGAGGAGCAGCAACTTAGAGGAGGGACCCCCCTTCCCAGCATGTGTGGAGGCTTGGCAGGAGCTGTGGGCTGGCATGCTGGGGAGAGAAAAGTTCATGGGGTTGAGGCATTTCTGGAAAGCACAGTTGCTTTTCTTTCAATGTCCAAGGAAAACTGTGGGCTGGAATTATCATCTCTTTGGAAATGAGATGAAGGGACCAAAGCAGCTTGACAAGAGAAAAAATTCCCACATGCTTCAGATTTCCTTCCCATTGTGTGCAACAGATGTGACAAATGATGGGAAGGTTTGGGTGCCTGCAACAGGAGGTGTGTATAGCACTGGGTGAATCATTTACTGCAACGTCAGGCAAACAAGCCACAGCACGTGTGTGCTTGTTACTCCCAGGTGACAGAGCAGGGCCCTGCATGCAGCCAGCTCCACCCCAAGCACCCCATGGGGACTGGCAGGACTGCAGCCTGTGCATCCTCGCCTGCAACATCCACACCACGTCCACATCATTGTATGGCTCAGCAAAGGGGTATGAATGCAGGACAAGCTTAAAAACTTGAGGATTCCTCCTTGAACTCTACATATCTCCCAGTAAAGCCAGTTTCCCTGGTTTTGGTAAAGGAAGCAGTCAATTTCAGATGGCCTTGGGCCCCAGTGAATATCTCCTTCCCACTGGAGCTGAGTCTGGTGCAACTGAGTTGGGGCTTCTCCTGGCTCAGTCCAATGAAATTGCTGTCCTGGCTCTCATTTGTAGTCCAGCCTAGACACAAGGCAGGAATTCCAGCAATTTTTATGGAGGGCAAGCCTCAGGAACAGTCACAGCACAAAGCCTCTGCAGATGTTGGCCAGCAGCAGGATGAGGCCAGCTGTGTCCCAGGCTGTTCAAGATTGCCAGCAGTAACAAAGAAGGGCAGTTACACAGAGCAGCAATTCATGGAGTGAGTCCTAGAGACGTGGCATGCTGCTGACACAAGGGATTCTGCAAAGGAAACTGGGAGCTTCCTTGTCCTCTGGCCAAAGATGGTAGCCTTGGCCTGTTCTGCTGTTGTCACGACCCACTGGTAAGAGGCATGATGTTCAGCATAAATCCTTACCAGGCTGAACAAAGCCACTGGACACATGTCAGGAACTCCTGTGTTTCATTGTACAGTCACTGTAACTCTGGCAACCAGCCCACTGCTTAGACTCAAAAGATGTTGGCCAACAAGCCTGTAAATTCTTATAACACACTTCCACCAGGTGCTGTCTAGCAAGCCACAACACATTTCCATAAACTTACCACTTGCACAACGAAGTTCAGTACAGAGTATGGGGTGGAATATGGTGTGTTTTGCCCAGGAGAGGAATAAACACAGGAGAGGGAGAAAGGGAACAAAGATTATAATCAGTATGTAGATCCCATCTTGGTCTTGCTGCATGGATGGTCCAGAGCTGGGGTTGTCAGACAAAGAAAGTGAAAAAAAAAGGAGGGAAAAGACACTGAGTGGGTCCAATCCACTTTATTTGCTAGTTAACCTGGTACAAGCCTTTTTGTAAACTTGACTCTTTGTTCATGCATGCACAGCCAGCCATTTCAGCCCTCCTGCAGGAAGTGTGTTGGAGGAGGGAACGGAGCATGAAACTCAGGGGGGAGCAGGAAATCAGCTAAGAATGCACTGCCCACCCTCCATGGGACTCTCTCCTACAATCACATCATTCCAGTTGTAAATCAGAATGATTGAGACCAAACATGCCTATGTGTGGTCCATTACAGCCATCAGGAATGGTGACTGCAGAAGCACCAAAGTTTTATGAGCAGCAGGAGCCCCAGGGAACCCAGCAGGCTGGGGAGTGGATCTGGCCTAGAAAACTACCAAGTTGTGAAATACAAAGTTGTGTTTCATGTCAGGTAAATAAAGGTAACCTGTGTAATTGTAATTGTGAAATGTGTGGAATACGGCCATGGGACAGTTATAAAGATGAGTTCTAATAAATAACCGAGGAAAGCATGGAAGAAGGCTTTTGGACCAATGTTTTGTTTGCAATTAATGATTATAAGTCTTTAGCTGTTTTGTAGTACGAGTATTTGAATTATAACTTTAGAATGTTGCCTTTTGATAAGAACATTTTTCTTGTAATGAAGTCTTAAGCTGTTTTGTAATAAGAGTACTTGAATTACAACTTTAAAATGTTGCTTTGTATTAAGGATTTTAAACTGTAGGATTTAAACAAAAGAGGGAAATTAACCTATTCCCAAGCTCCTAGCAAAACAGTGAAAATATCCTGGAAAAGGAAGATGGACATCAACATCGCTGATTAGTGATTTTGAAAAGGGAAGCTGGACATCACTATCCCAGAATAATGGTCCTAGAAGCTGGACCCCACATCAGGAAGATGGACCCCACTATCTGGGACACACATCCTGGAATATACATCCTAGGATGCTGAAACCTGGAATAGATCACAATAGAGTATAGAAATTGGAAAGGAACCAATGTATGATCTATCACCATCATAGATTTACGATCCTGAAGTATAGAATTGTGACATCAAAAATTTGAAATAGAAACTGCTGAGAAAAGCTTATGAATATGCATGAACATGATCAACATGATCAATAAACACCAGCCAGCCCAGCAATCAGTGTGCAGTTGGAGGGGAAAACTCCCACCACTGTACCCAGCACTGTCTTTGCTCATATGTCACCATATTAATAAATACATTGAATTGCTGCTTGATATATTGGCTGAGTCAAGCTTCTCATTTCTAACAAATTAGCAAATCCAGCTGCTCTTCCAGAAATCTCCCCCTGGAGCATCCCTGAAGGAAGGGCAGCTCTGGCCAGGAGGCTGCATATTTTTATTCTGGATACTCATAGCACCTACAACTTTGCTTTAAATCATCCTTGTGTCAGTCAATTTAGAACACCAGAACAGCTTCACAGGCTCTCAAGCATCAGGATTGCCTCTACCATGTGGCCACACCACATGCACAGTTACCTCAGGACGCATTCCTGAGGCTGATAGTCACCTTTCCTGTGTCCTGTGGCCAGAGGTTCTTCAGAAAAGGAAAAGGGCAGATTTTAATCAATTTCTTTTGGATTCACATCATGGTCAAAGCAGAACTGGCCGTTTATCTTGGAAAGCACAAAGCAAAACACAGGTTTTTTTTTTTCCCAACTGAGGATGCTATTTGGGATCTACAGACATTTCCTGAGAGCCAAGTGGGGTCCAGATGCTTCTTGGGAGCACTGAAGTAGTGCAAGGACTCATCTGAACTGAGCCGCCCAGGCTGAACTGCTGTCAGAGCTGGTGAGCACTGACTGCCTTGTGGTGCATTCCAGAGCTCATCATTTTAGTGAGAGGGATGTCCTTTACTGAGTAGAGGGACATTCTGGCTTCCTGTTCCAAGAAGGCAGAACAGTGTGTGCTCTTGTTGCTTGTTTACATTTTTATTTGGTTAATCAGAAGTTTCTTCTTTTGTACCAAAACTTTTGTGTTTGACACAAAAGAACATATTGGAATGCTATTTTTCTAACAAACATCACTACTGGGCTTCAGTGGGATAAAGAATGTTGCTTTTTAAGATCACTGCTCAGCTGGGTCACTGATCATTGGAGCTTTTCAGCTGTGTCATTTTTAGGAGTAAAACATAGCTGCAGGAAGACTCAGAACAACTCTCTGAGAGGGTATTCCTTCTAAAAACCCCAGAGGAGACTATTGCTGCTGCTGTTGCATTTCTGCAGCCCTCCAGGAATCACTGTGTGCATAGTGAACAAATGAAAAAAATCTCTGGGAATCTTTGAATGAAGGGTAACTAAATCAAGGATAGGCAAACCTGACATCATTGCAATTTGGGAGAAGAAGGTGTTATGTGCAATATGGATAATTCGTGCCTGTAAAGATATATATATAGATGTAATATGTTATATTGCCAAGGAATATTTGTATAAAGTTTTAAGCTTGCAAGACAGAGCCAAGGGATTGCCTCACATATGTTGAAACCACCACTGAAAAGAGGGAGGAGGACTACATTTGCAAACGAATAAAGATATCTGCCTGGAGATGGGTCGTTCCCCAAGGTGATCCAAGGAACTCCTAAGTGATGATTGACTCAATAAATATCTAACATTGAGATCGCTGGAGGCACTGGAAAGATACATCTCAATGCCAAGTTCCAGTAACTCAGTCATGGACATACATCGCTCTCTGGACACAGTTTTGTTCAACTCAACATAGAGAAAAGGAACTCTATGAATAAGTGGGACACTGAGTAGAAGAATAGCCTGATCGCTGAAAACTCTGCCTCAGGCAAAATAAACTGTATAAAAACCACTTGAACAGGAAGGTTGGTGTGAAACATTGGAGACCCTATGCTGTAGCGGTCGGACCTGTGTCTCACCCAGCGCCGATTCCGGGCTTGGCACTGTCTTTTTTATTGTGGCTGGCTCGATTGAATTTTGATAGCAGAATAAAACTTATTTTTATTAATTTTTAATTTGGCTGGATCATTTTTACCTATAACAAAGGGATGAGCTACCAGGGCCACTGTAAAGGGATTGACATTAGGCACCAAAGTTAGTGTCGACTTGAGACACTTTGTATGCTGTGGCAAGACTTGTCACAAGTTAAAGGCCAGCTTCTCTGAAGCTCTGGGCTCCCTCTGGAGCCCTCACTTGTTTTAAAATTTTAAAAGATTAATAGTAATAAAATGGTCATAAAAATAGTAATATAAATTAGAACAATAAGAGTTTGGACAATCAGAGTTAGGACAATAAAGGACAATAAAGCAAAAAATTATGAACATTGGGATGCTTTCCTCAAAAAAAGCATGGCTTGCTAACAAAGGATTAAAACTTAAAAGCAATAACCTTTTGCATATTCATATATGTCATACATGATGCATACATTCCTTTCAAACGAGGGAGTTCTCTGGTTATTGTCAACTTTCCTCCTGTTGGCACCTCAAAGACAAGAAGGAGGTAGAATAAAGTTTGTCTTTTCCCATAAGGAGGCCTCTTGGGGATTTCGGTGTCTTGTTGCTGTTACCTCTCTGCAAAGAACTTCTTGATTATGTTATGTGTAATGAATGTAATTCGCACTGGTATAATATGATGTATGTAATATTTGATATTACTGGGAGGATGCACAAATTGGCACTGGGAGTTGCCCCACATATTCAAAAACCGGTCTGACAAAACCTAATTTGCAAGCTAACACATGTGGCTTGTCCAGAGATGAGTTGTTTCTCCAGGTGATACAGGAACTCCTGGGCTATGATCATCCCTGCAACGACTGGAGATTGGGATCGCTGGAACCCTCCAGGCTGATACATCTGAATGCCGTGTTCCAGTAACTACATGAGGGAGATTCATCACTTCACAGACACCGAATTGTACCAACCCAACACAGAGAAAAGAGACTTTATGAATATGTGGGACTTTGAATGGAAAAAAAAGGCTGATCACCAAAATCCCAGCCTCAGGCAAAATATTCCTTATAAAACCTGCTTGTACCAGGAGGATGGTGTGTGGGCACAGGGGGGACCCTCTGCTGAGGCTATCCACTCTGTGACGCACCCAGTGCCTATCCTGGGCTCAGCACTGGCCTTTTCCTTGTGGCTGGCTCAGAGAGAATTTGATCGCTATAATAAAATTTCATTTTTATTTTTTAATTTGGCTGGATCAATTTTTATCTATAACAATTATCTCATCTCTTTCTTGAACCAGTTAAAAAGTATCTTACATTGCATAGTTTCTATTTTAACATTATGTAATAACCTAAAACTATATTTAACACACTACTTAAGAGAATTAATACAGCATAACTTTCTAACATAACACACATAATATTCATTTTAATATTTGTGAAAAGCCAATAATAAAATATGTGTTTTTCATAAACCCAAAAGGGAGGAGTAGCAGCAGCCAGTGCACATGTCTGTGGGGAGCTGGAAGAGAGGGAGGCAACCCTAGCTGGTCCAGAACAGAGGTGGAGCAGGGAGCTGTGTGGGGCAGAAAGGAAAAAGAAGGAGGTGCTCTGGCAGCTGAGGATTGTGCAGAAAAACCACTCTATGAAAAGCCAGTGTCCATAAAGGAAACAGAGGAGTCCTGCAACTTTATTTGAGTAAAGAGAGAGTGTCCAGTGGGACATAACCCTGTGCAGTTTCTCGGTTTTGGACGATGCAAATAGAAGGCAAAAATACTTGTCTTGTACAGTGCGGTCATGTATTTCACGGATGACCTCCACAACGCTGCCCGCCGGCATAATAAACATACCACTTTCTAACTTTGACTAGAGAGTCTTTGTCCATGATTTTTGGTTTTAACAATTCACATTTTCTCTCTTGCTCTTCAATCTTGACCTGCCTTTTCAACACAAGCAGGACTCCAAAGGTGGGTAGTTCAGGTACAAAGAACAAGGGGCATTCAAGAAACTAATTAGCATTGTTGTCAGAGGTGGAAAATTTACCTTAAAAACAGACCCAGCTTCCTATTGTGTCCCAGATGGGTGCTGGGATGGCCAGAGGCTCGGGGCTCCTGTACTGCTGGTGGGGGTTTCTCCTCTGTAGATAATGTCCAGAGCCCCAGGCTAAGGACTGGTGGGGAGGGAGGCAACATCAGGTGGTCTGGGGAATAATCAAAAGCCCTGCGGTCTGAAACGGCTTTGGGAGTACAGACAAGTCCAGGATTGAGCAGAACATTCCTTTGCCATCCTGCATCCCAGTACCAGGAAGCCCCTTGTGAGAGACTGAACTGCGAAGGGATGGTGACTCAAAACATTCTTCCATTTGTGGAGAGCAAGGGTGCTTTGTTAAAATGGAGGAGAGGAGCTTTTGGATGTGTAATGGCCAATTTCTGATCTGATAAGATCAAGTCTGTCATGATCCCATGCACACAGTGGATGGAGACAAACGTTTCTGTGGTACCCATGAAAGGCATTTTAGGAAAGACTGCTTAGATTAATCCTACTGCAGACAAGGGCAAACCCATCTGCAGGATTGTTTTTGCTCAAGGACCTGATTACACTTGGTGGGTAATGCAGAAGGATGGGGAAACCCGTTGTGTACCACAAAGAGACCTAATTTTAAGTAAGAACTGTGTGTAAAGTTTCATTCTGTATTTTATATGTATACATATCTGTAAGAGGGTATTGGTTTGGTTATGATGTAGATGGTAATAGAATAAGGGGTCGATTATGTCCTAGGTTACAATATAAAGATGTATTCTATTCCCATCTTCAAGAGCTGTTGAAACCAAGAGGGGCATTGTTTTTTCCTTATCTCCTGTTAATGCACCCATCAGTGCCTTGCCCATGCTCCCTCCGGGAGCCATTTCTGTTTAATGGGTAATCAAGGATCCACCGCATGACTCACGGAATGATAGCAGCCCATTCTGAGATGTTTCACCAGCAGGGAGGAGCTAAGCATCCCCACCTGGATATTATCTAGAGTTTGGGACAGAACAAGCAGCCCTTACCCACTGGTTTCCAGAGCTACCAGATCTTTTCTGTGGGATTACCACTTCAACAAGACCATTTCATCTAGACTACTACCACCACCCTAACTAGCAGGGTGTCAAGTTGTAGTCTCACTCTGTCAATGGTTTTTCTTTTGTATCATTGCATGCATTTTGGTTTTGTTTGGTGTTGTTTTTTTTTTCATTTTCTTACTAAATTATATTTCTGACTTGGAGTCTCTCACTGGTTTTGCTTTCAAACCAGAACACATGGCAAAATGGGATAGGTAATGTAGTGAAAAATACCATGTAAGGAAACACTGTGCCTTGAAAAAGTGTATAAAATCAGCTCATTTCTTTGAATAAATGATTCAGATTCCCTGCCAGTCTGGGTCCATGTTGTGGTCACTACAGCTCACTGCCAATCTCACAGCACAAATGGCTTCTGGAAAGACGGCTTTGTTTATTTTCAAAGATACTCTTGAGGCTATGCTGCTGGCATGTATTTGTAGTGTTCTGGAAGTGTAACAAGGGCATGTCCTGAACACCAGAGGGCTGGACATGGCCAATTGCTGTGTTATGACTGTGGCAGAGAGGCCAGGAGTGGGAAGTGTGTAAATCTTCCACTTCTAGACAGTTGTAGTGGTTATTTCCACTTTGACGTGTGAAATTATTTGTTGATGCAAGTGAAGTTTGTGAAGACTGCATCATGAATATTTATATTAATGCTAATTACCTTAGCTAAGAGCTGAGAATAGTTCCATCTCTTTCTAAAAGAAGTCTTTTTTTGGAATCTGAGATGTTTCTGAAGCTTTTCTTTTCTGCTAGACTGGGGAAGACAGTCCTGGACAAGATCTTTGGACACAGTTGTTTGTCTACCTAGGTAAAGCTTTAGTCAAGATGTTCTTCACCTCTGCATTTCTGAACATGTAGATGACAGGGTTTAGCAATGGTGTTATAGCTGTGTTTAAGACAGTGACTGTTTTGGTCAGTTCCAATGAAACTTTGATGGATGGCTTGACATGGAGGAAGATGGTGAAGCAGTACCAAATAATTACTATAATGAGATGGGAAGAATAAGCGAAGGATAATCTTCACTGGCCTTGAGCAGATGGGATGAAGTACAGTGATTATAGAAATAAAGGAGTCCAGGGTAACAACACAGGAGCTGAGGATGACAATGTCTTAGGTTGCAAATGCAAGATGTGGCTGGGGGTGTGTATTTATTGCCATCTGTTAGACATGGGGCAGTTCTCTTCTGTACATTGGGCTACCTGCTAAAACCAGGTGGGGCAGTTTTCTCTATCTCTTCCACAACCCATCGTCCCTCTGGGAAATATCTTCTGTTCATGGGCCAGCGAGTGTCCCTGCATGGCTGAGAAAATTCCATCATCCCATTGGGAGAAGCTCTGCTCAGGGGGAGGAGCTGAACATTCCTACATGGATCCAATCTGATATTTGGAGCACCACAGCAGCCTTTTCCCCCTGGATTCCCAGAGAAGCAGCTGTCTACTCCACTGGATTCCCAGAGGAAGACCAGGCCCATTTACACCACCACTGGATCTTCAGAGGAAAACTACATCCTTCTACAGGATCCAACAACTGCTCCAACAGAACCAAAGCTGGCACTGCAAGGAGGGCTGATGCCACGATTTAATGGGACTGCTGCCACCACCCTGACCCACAGGCTATCAGGTCCTCTTCTGACTCTGTCAGAGTTTTTTTCTTTGTACTATTGCATTTGTATTTTTAGTTTTCCTAGTAAAGAACTGTTATTCCTATTCCCATATCATTGCCTGAAAGTCTTTTAATTTCAAAATTATAATAATTCAGAGGGAGGGGGGTTTACATTTTCCATTCAGGAGTCAGGGTGTTGGTAATAGTCCAGTAAATAATAGTCCAGTTAAATGGTGGCTGCTCCTCCTGCAGTGGCAGATGAAATGCTGCTGGAGTGGTGATCTGTAGAAGGGTGTAGTTTTCTCTTAAGTTTCCTTAAGTTCTCTTAAGGTGATAGAGTAGATGGGCCTGGTCTTCCTCTGGGGATCCAGCAGGGAAGAATCTGATCCTCTGGGAATCCAGCGAAGAGGCTGCTCTGATGTGCCAAAAAATGCTGATTTTATCCAGGTAGGAATGTTTGGCTCCTCCCTCTGGGTGGAGCATCTCACAATGGATGATGTAACTTTACCAGTCATGCAGTGAGTCATTTAATGGCCCATTAACAGAAGATATCTCCCTGGAGGGAGACATTGTTCTTGGCAGAGATAAGAAAACTGCCCAATTTAAGAGGAGATACCCGCCCCACCTCTAACAGATGGCAAAGAGAATACATGCTTATCCTACAAGCCAGGACAGGATACTGCTTTTTATCATGCCAATGATAAAAACCCCTTACACAATTGGTTCAGGACAGTAAAACTCCCCCAGCCCTGGAAAAATAGCAGGACATTCACACCACAGCCTGAGGGTTTTCTTCCCTTTCAACGGGGCATAACTGGCTCAACCACGCTGATGTGAGAGGAGGCTTTTATGTCTTAGAAGGTGCCATAAACTGTCCAAGACCCTTGAAGTGCCCCCAGACTAATTTCTGGGGCCTTCAACCAGAGGACTGTGCATGATCCACAGTGCTGCAGTGATCCATGGTGTTGCATCTTGCATCTGTCTGATGCAGAGTCCTCCAAAAGAGAAAGATCATCTTGGAGGTCTCCCTGGGAGGAGTCTGGGGCTGCTGCCCATGACCACAGAGCACTGTAAGAAGTGGGAGGAATCTCAGGTGGATCCCAGAAGATAAGAGTTAATGCCAAATGAGAAAGTCACCCCAGGTTGCTTTTCTTGGAGGAGCCCTGAGCTGCTGCTGGGTTCTCAGGAGACTAAAGCAGCTGTGTAAAGCCTTCAGGACATGCCTGGGAGGAGTCCGGGGTGGGTCCTTGAGGATGTACATCCCATGAACAGAAAAGAATTATCTTGGATACCCTCCCTGGACAAATCTGGAGCTACTATTTGGGATTTCAGGTGCTGCAATAGAAGACAGAAAGAGTCCAGAAGATGCCTAGGAGATGCCCAATGTAGAACCTAGAAGATGCAATTTCCACAAAGAGAAAAATCACCTTGGGCAGCTGTGGATGCCAGCCTAGTCAGAGAAACAGCAATTGTTTCTCACAATGGCTTGTGAGAATTTTTAGGGAGTTGTAGGGATGTGATAACTTGTTAGTCTAAATAATCTGCAGGTGATGTTTTTCCACTTGCTTTACTGTTCCTCTCAAGGATGGTGTGTGAAAAAGATGTTTTTATTAGCTAATCAGTCAAATAGAATGTAGTGTGTTAGTCTATTTAAACTCAAGTTTCCTTTCTATTAAAGCCTTATTTTCTTCCTTTTTATGCTGTGTCTCTCATCTGTTCTTGTGTCGTTCTTGGCGCAAGGGTGACAGGCAGCTTCCCTGCAGGAGTCTGGGGCTGCTGCCTGGGATAGCAAATGTTTAACTTAGACTGGGAGATGTCTGGGAGAAGTTGCTGGGAGATTCCAGCAGATACACTTTTGTTCAAAAAGAGAAAAATCTCAGGCCACTTACTTGTAGGAGTCTTGGACTACTACTTAGGATGTCAGGATTTATCTGTATTAGTGAACAGACCCTGAGCTGATTGGGAGGAGTCTCAGCTGGATCCTCGAACAGAGAGCTTCTACCAAAGAGCAAAACATCATAGGCAACTTCCCTGGAGTAGTCTGGGTATGCTACCTGGGATATAAGGTCTTGAAATCACAGAGCCAAAAGCCCCAGGAGGTGACTGGGAGGAGTCTTGGGGTCATCTAGGATAATTTCCTCCAGAAGAGGTAAAACATCT